TAGAAAGAATGGCATACGGTCAGATAATCAAAAGACCTTTCTAAACATAAAAAAACAATCTTATTTTTGTTTCGGCCACAATAACTAGTAAGAAGTGTTTACCACGTGTAACTGCCAACTACAATTCTTTATACGAAAATCAAGTTAACTGAGCGTATTTCACCGGAGTATCTACTATTCTGAGTTACTTGTCTAACGCTGCCGTTATTGTAAAATATGAAGCTACTCATTTGACATAGACTTTCAATTAAGCATATTTTAGCAGCAACGCTTTTATCACGTTCAATAATTGAGATTGAAGAGGCGCGGCACGTTATAAGACAACGGTAGCCTATTTTGTTTATTAAGAAACAGTATTCCCTTCATAAAATATTTTGATTTAAAATTTAAAAAAATTATCTTACTCTATGCTTATTTTTAACATACGGTTCAAGCGAAATAACTTACTGAAAACCCAATAAACTTTTATTATTATAAGTGCATAAACAATACACTTGATAATGACGTTCTCAAATCGAATTTTTCTTGACGCTACAAAAACGAAAGAAAATAACTGAGATGAGAGCGGAAATCGCACTAAACAACCATATAATGTGTAATTATGATATCCATATTAATAATATGCGATACTAAGAATAATCGAGTAAATGGCAACACATTGCTGTTGTTTTGTTGCAACTGATGTCCTTTTTTAGCTATGTGGCCATATACCTGTTTCCATAACAGTTTTTTTCTATACACAACATTATGTACAATGCACTATATTCACCTAAATGTCAGCAGCAGTTTTCTCGCCCCATGGAAAATGAAAAAATTTATGAATTTAGAAGCCATTCTCTTTAACCTTAAATTTATATACAAGTGTCTGTTTTTTGTTGGGTCTATACTGTACACATTCATACGAACGTTAATTATTTGGTTATCATTTCCGTGCAGCATTCATAACATTATAATCTCGCAGCACGCATTGTGCTGAAGTCATTGCTCATCATGTATAATGAGACCAGGCTTTTCATTTACGTACTGTAAGAGCTGGTTTAGCGAGGACTATTTCCCTTATCATATCTGCCAATTTTATCGCTCAAAATAAATGTACACACTTGTAAAGAAGAGTATGCTCTTGTATATCATTGTTACACGTTTCCCATTGGTCAATTAATCGGTGCAGCACCACAACGGATATTCCCATAGAACCATACACCAGTGCAGATTTCGCACTGATTACTGACACACGACTTATTTTACGACACACGGGTTCTTATTTAAACAACTGGTAAAATTTAACACTCACTAAAAATACTCCTGATAGTATCGTTGCCGAAAGTTTTGCCGATACAGTACGGCATAGAAGATTACACATTTCACATCCACGTATACACTGAGTTTGTGAGAGGCTCTGAAGGGCGAAGGATACGCTAAAATCTGTACACAACATTGAATTATAACTGATTATAAAAAACATTTTTAGAATATATTCAACACAACTTAAACCAGAACGACTGTTCTCTCAAGTATCGCGCATGTTTTGTCGGTGTATCCTACAGCCGTATTCTATTCCGCTCAATTCCAAAGTGTGTGGTGTGCAGATGTCTATTAATCTTTTACTGCAGTAGTGTCACTTGTTTCTGCTGATGGAGACGATGTCCCCGTTTCTATTGTAGTTATGCTACTTGCTTTAATTCCCGCCGTGGTGTCTTGTCGTTGAAGTTGAAGCTGTTGTTGGCAAGTAGCTGCAGTTCCGTCAACATAGCCGACTGAAGAAACGTTATCCAGTGATGAACGCGGGTCCGTGTTGCTGCTGTTAATGCAAAAAATGTTTCGTACCTTGGCACTAGGTGCGTATGATGCCAGGAGAGAAACATGCTTCTCGGCCTTCCAGTGATACAACAAACTCGTAAGCAGCTGTTTGCGCTGGGTCAGTATCTCACCTAAAAGTTGGCACAGGCATATTGATAATTAACACTCAAAACAGATACATTACAAAAATGTACATAACGGATGTCATCCTTCACAAAGATCCGGAAGTTTAGTTGCTTAAACACTTCAAAAAAAATTTAGTTGACTCTTGTTCTACAGTGTAACAAAAGTCTATGGTGACTGTGCGCATTCGAAAAATATTTCGTTTCCACTTCGTTAAATAAGTTAGATCACACGTTCAAACCTTTGAAGATTTAAAAATATATTCAACATAACATCAAATGTTTATTTAATACTACATATAATTATTTAACATTTAGCTATACAAGTTTGAGCCTGGATGATACCTCAAATTGATCGAGTAAGCTATTTTATTGGCATTATTATTACTACATTACATTACATATTACTATAACATTACTCATTTCAAAAGAATTCTAAATGTGCTGTACTGGAGAATGCTTTCCGGAGACTATGGTGCATGTATCCTATTGGCCTAAGTCTTAGACCGAAGAAAAATTGGGGCAGAAAATTCATGATTTATGAACAGATGTGAAGAAACTAAACTTCGGTGGAAACTAATATCAAAAAGATTACCACTGAACAACGTGTTCCCCTATATTTTCTCCCTATCATCATAATTAGAAGTTCAACATTGATTTACAATGTCTGAAAAATATGTGCTACGTCCTTGAAATACCTAAAAAAAACCTCCTTCAAAATAATTTCTTGATATATGCTAAAACTACCATAACGTTTACGTATCAAAATCAGCAACTCAGAACAACAGATTTCACACACAGCGAACGTCAAGATGAGAAACTCTGCTATATATGGTTTAGCAGAATTCCTATACGCTGAACAATGTTACGTTTCCATTATTAAAAGGCGCACTTCTTAGTCAAACACTTCTGACAACACAGTGATCTTATTATGCTATTGTTATTAATAAAGCGAGGAAGGCCAGAATTGAGCTATTACAATGAATACTTACTATTTATGGGAGAATATCCTTGAACTATTACAGTATTAACTAACAACTAAATTATCTCTTCACACAACTTTGGTATCTTTGTAGTAAACTTTTCAGTCTATCTTGTTATAGTGAGGCATATTGACAATGGTTTTCAATGGGACAATTTACAAGTACTCCGCTTTATTATGAACTGCTCGCTGGTGTTCGAATAGCACAGACCACTTTAGTTCATGTGTTCCAACAATAATTCTCAACCTAATGAAGTGGTGGCGATGCAGGCGAAAGCGTTTATTACATTGCTGTGTAATAACCGCTTTCGCCGCGATTTCTGCCGATAAGTTCTCATAACTTGCTGGGCTACCTTAGTGTTCTAGACCTTTGTTTTTTTTTTTGTTCGAGTAGGTCATGACCCCTTTATTAGCACTCCAGGACCACGGTTATCGAAAAAAACCTAAATAAATGGACAACGCAAAAACACCTAAATATACGTGTATATTTTCACGTAAAACCAACAAAACGCAAACAATAAAGAAGCAAGGAAAATAAAAATGAGATACTTATTTTTATCTCTCTATGAACTTATGTAGTGTTGTTACACTAATAATAATTATTTTTTGAAGTGTAGCGGCTCCCTATTAAAGAACTCTAAAGATTGCAACGATTAGAAATACGTAAGTATTTGTAAAAAAAGATATCGATAAAACAAAAATTTCGGTTTTCTTAAAATACGCTCTTTAATACCTTTTGTTTATTTTTTGACAGATTACCCTTATAAATTCGCAGTCTAATAAAACTGGCATATTTTTCTTATATCTTTTTAAAATAAACCGAGGCAATTTTTTGAACACAGCTGTATATTATTCCAGGGTATGTAGAAACATAATTTAATAATAAATTATGCTTCTACTAAATATGTAAAATATTTATAAATAATAAAAAATATATGTGTATAAAATTAATTTTAAAACATTAAAATTAGTTTTATTCCTCAAACTTCAAATGTACAATGATTTATAGAAATACTAAAATGTATAACGTGATAGCTATGCAGTGTCTACTACATTAACTGAAATTGTACTGACAATATAGTCTAACAAAGCTTTCATTCTGTCATCGATATTTTAGGATTCAAGCATTTTAATATCTACGTAACTCACCTTCGTTGGAAGCGAGCATCTGGGCAAGTTGCTTAAGAGTCTCATTGGCTTCATCTCTTTCTGCCTCTTCGAGCTGTCTTTGCACGTCTTCCTCGCTCCAGTAAACTTCAAAGTCCTTGGGTAGATCAGCCATTTGTACAAGCACCTTGCATCCGCGTAGCTCAACGTGACGCGCTCTAAGAGTCTCTTCCACAGTGCGTTTTGGTCCTCGCAGTTCATCACGTCCTTCCCAGGCTCCTTGGGGTACTTGACCGCTGCGGGCTATCTTATTAAACCGTTCGTGTGCTCCAACTAGAGAGCCACCTGACTCACCTCGAGTTCTTTTTCCACGGGTGCGCATTCTTGAAGTCCTTCGTCCAGTCCGCGCTCCATATTCTATATAACAGTTACTTCCAGCCGGCGGCAGATAGACGGAACCTTCGCTCTCGCTCTCATCCCCAGCCGGTGTGTGAATAAGAGCTGTGCGAGACCTATTAGTCCCCCTCACCGGATGCTCTACGCTCCTATGGTTACTAGTATTGTTGTTGTTATTGCTGCTGTTGTTGTCGGTTAGACTAGCCTCTTTGTGGGCATCACGGATTAATAAATCATTGATCTTGTTTTTTGGAAGGACTAATTCTATTGCGGCTTCACCCATGTTTGATGAGCCGTATGCCTTTTCCTTGCTGGAGTCATCGTCAATACTACTCGAAGGATCCGAGCCATCCTGGATAGACATTTTTTGTGGGTTAGTTCCCTCGAAGGTATCTGTTGTTCCAGGCGAGATAACCGATGAAGACAGATCTTCCTGAAATGCTCCTACCTTCAATGCTTTTTTCTTCAGCGCGAAGACAACATCAGAAGTGACCACATTTTCACACACGTTAATTTCGAGCTTCTTAACCTCTCGTGCAAAGATTCGCTTCGTTTTGCAGTCATCCTCGCTTGGGCTATTGGTTCTCGGTATATCCGACCCCATCTCTTCAGCCACGCCTACATTGAATAGGTTATCATTATTGGGCGAACCTTTATGTACTTCGTCCTTCATGTCTTCATCTAAAGCGCTGCCACTTTTCATTGAGGATGAGCAATTAACCATAACACTGTCCGCATCACCGTCTGCAAACCTATCTGCGTCTTTCTCCATTTTCACGTATTTTTCTTCCTTGGTTTCGTCTTGTTCCAATGGTTCGCCCTTGGCAGCTTTAGTCCACGAACACAATACACTCCCATTAACCTTTAAGTCAGCTAAGTTGTTTTGCGACTCCTGTAGGGTTTCCTTCAAGCTAACGTCGATTTCAATGTTCACCTCGGGGACCACCTTGCCACCTTCCTCTCCCTCAACTTTGATTGCCTCGCTATTTACTTGAGAGGTATTTGTGGTAACCCCATCAGTAGCATCAGCCAGTGAAGTAGTCCTGTTGGCTTGGTCCTTAGGAACAACCTGTTCTTCTGTTAATTCTCTATAGTGTCCATTAGTTTTAAAGTGACATTCCACAGTCTCTCCTTCGCTTTCTCGTTTGATATTCTCCGCTCTGACCGCCTGGGCCGTCCCTTGGCCTGGTTCGGGGCCACCACTGCGGCCCAACTGAAAAGTCCGCTCTCCACTGGAAACGAGGACACTAGTATTTTTGGAAACAACATTGTTGTTGTCACAACTCGATATCTTGTGACCTTTAAGACTATGCCCTTGCCCTTTATCAAGGGTATGAGGTCCTTCAACGCCTAGGTGACCTCCCAGTCCAAGACCGCCCAGGTCGTCATGCTTGAGAGCTGCATCGAGTGAAGCGAGATCAGCTGGGAGCCCGTCAGTTTCGCTCAACTTATCAATTTCCTCTGCAAGTGATTGGATATTGGATAATAGGTCGACCTCGGGTTCTGCTTCCTCATCGCCATTCATCATCTGCAATTGTTCGCTCACCAGGTGTTCGTTTAAAAAGGAGTCGTCTAAAGGTAAATTTAAACAACCACCTCCACCAGAACCGCCCTTCTGTCGGGAGTCATGGCTATGGTCAGAGCCTGGATGCGCCGTACGGCAACCCCCACCACCCACAGAATCTGCCCCTATAACTGGCACAATTTTAGGTAGTGTAACACCACTTAATAGTGCTGTTGTTGAACGCTTAACGCCCTGTAATATAAAAAAAAATACGGAGAGTTATACATGTTCTTGATATTATTTTATATATTATTTTATATATAAGTATTTTCAATTTCAAACCTTTCAATTTATGTAACGCCAATTCCACCGAATTCTACTGCAATGCCGTTTTTTTGGTACCATCATGACCACATGCACACTGACCAAAACCCGTTATAGGTTTCGACCTGCATAGGTCGTACTTTATTATGGCATTTAGGCGTTTTGTTGCACCTCCTCTTTGGGTAATGCTAGTTGAAGTCATGAAGCGTCGTAAAACTATAACAGAGCATTACAATTGAGTTAAAAAAAAATGAATTTAAATTTACCCTACAAACCGTAATAGTACATAAACACAAAAAGAAGGCCAGTGCTTCGGAAGAACTATTCTTGAAATCCTCAAAACTGTGCGGGTTCTAAAAAACATAAAAATTCGGACCAAATGTTACAATAATCAATGCGAGCAAATTACCTTTACAGGCGGTCGAGCTAGCTTGTTCAGGGCTCCTGTAAGAGAAGTTCGAGCAATTCCCTGTGTGAACTTCTCTCGTAGCTCATCATCCGGAGGATGATCATGGGATTCGTCCAACTGTTTAACTTCCAGGCCTGTCCCGCGTGCATTTAGCTGAAACGTAATGCGCGCGCTACACGATCCCATAGGCCTGTAATGTAGCACGAAACGATAGATAAATACGTGCAGTAGGCACACAGAACTATTTTCAGAGATAAGACGTAATGAACAGTAGTTGATTACGTTTTTGGCATAATGAAACAGAAGAACCACTTTTTAGTAATTATTATACAGCAGTGTAGGATATTTTTTGATATCTCGTTCATTGCAGCACACTAAACAGCTAAAGAACATCACGAATAATTTTGTGTAATGTGACAGAAACATAATACGAGTTTACAACTATTCCTACAAATCGACGGTTGTGATGGGCATATAGTTTACATTTTATAAAAACAAGTCTAAATTATGGGCTGAAGTAGATTAAAAGACTTGAAGAACATTTTTGAACTCAAATAATTCGGTCGCCGCTGACCAAAGAATGCCGGACTTAATGTTGTTAAAGGTTGTTTGAGCAGCACAGTATCGTCTGCTCGTTTTATAAATATGCAAACGTAACAGATGTTTAGAAAGGTAACTGTGAAAGCGTTAGGTTTAGCGGCCATCAAGGCTTCCTTTTGTGCAATATAGTTTTCTTGCATAAATATACATACTGTACTAAATGTCCCAAAACGTATAAAGTTTTATGAAAAAAAAATGTTACTTAACACACAAGTTATCCTTTATGATTTAAATTTATGTCAATCATCTTCTAAGATATTTTTGGAGAATTGTTTATTTTGCTTTAATTGCAAAGTATCTCTATAACCGTTTTACTAAATTATGTCGTTGAGCATGAAGCGTCACGAACAATCTCATATTGAAAAATTACGATATTTTATGACAATGTGACACTTTGCAAACCTTATGTTGGCATACAGAATGCACTTGTATTCTGTGAAATCTATACCCGTTAACGTAGATACTATCACTTGAGCTTTTAGCAGACAAGCTATAGTAAATTATGTAAAATCAGAAAATACGAATAGTTTGCAACTGGCTAACTACTACTAAAGCAATTGGCACTTTGAAATTGCAGTGGTGGAGACATTTCGATATATACATTTCGATATTCGGTAAAGATTCTACAAGTAGAAAAATAAGCTAAAAAAATTTGAATCTAAAAAATAAATCTCGTGAAGACATCCCGTAAAAATGAATAACAAAGAGTCCAGGGCGGTGATGACAGCCTACTGATCCTAAGGTGCATGTGTGTTAGCATTCAGATTTGGTGTAAGTAAAACTACCATACTTGTTCAGCTGGGTCAAACGAAGTAGTTAGAAAATTTGACAAACGAATGCCGCATGATCTGAGTGTAAAAAAACAGACAAACGCTTATACATCTTTGCTTTTACATTACAGCAATAAGTAATTTTTGCAGCGAATTTTGACTTGGGCTGAAATATTTGCAGGCAGTCATATTACCGACATAATACCGGCAGGACACAAACGTGAGGCAAATGTACAGCTGCCAAAATTTATGGTGCCCACTTGGTGGTCTAGTACAGATATTACCCACTGTGATTGAAATTCTGATTCGTTGACTTCGTATGCTGTCAACAATTAGAGGAGGTCATAAAAAAAATTTCGCATAAAGCCAAGACTGACAAACAGAAGTAGACGACTCCTGCTATAGGGCAACGCTCGACCTCACACCGTAAAAATCACGGTGACCAACATCTAAAAATTACAATTACAGGTTTTCCTTATCCACCATAACTACTAGGGACTGCCCCCCTACAAATTACTGTTTTTCCCAAAATCTCGACAACTTAATAAAAAGACCATACAAATCTCAACATGATGCCGAAACTGCTTTCGAGATATCATGAACCCTCGAACGCTAAATTTCTACAGTAGCAGACTAAATAAACTATTATCTAAATGGCAAAAGATCATAAAATATAATAGTGTACATTTCCATTGAAAAGGAAAAAACTAAGCCTGCAAAAAGTTAGAGATCGTTATTCATATTAAACGACCCATTGTATGTATTACAACCTTGAAAGCCATATGAATTTTAGTTTGGACGGGTTTGCTATGAATACTAAATGTATTACAAACCTGAAAAGACAAAACAATAATGATGTCCATGTATGTGTTTCACATCTTTAAATATTATAGTGTAAATTACTTGCCTCATTTCAATGCAGGTTGTTAATTTAAACTTCAAATATAACGCAACTTACACCTTGCTACTATTTGAGGTAGAATCATTGTTGTTCTGGTTGGTATCCATGGGAATGGGAGACTCTTGAATGGTGTGTCCATCGTCATCTTTTTTCTTCTTGACATAATTTGACACCATCGTGAGCTGCCTCGAGCGTACGCAACGGAACTTGAGTGCAAAGTATTTGATACCAGGATCCGCCGTAGCATTCGCAAATTGCTCTTTGAGTTTCTCCTTGCCCTCGATCCGCTTAAGTAACATCGAGCCGATTTTCCTGAAACCAAATTAATTGTAAAGAAAAACAATCTATGGGCAACTCGACATCTTGGACTTACGTATATACAGAGTGGATCGCCTTTTCTATTCTCCAGATTTTTGTTGGAGAGTAGAGGTGTCCAGACGTCGGGATTCAAACCTGGGCCACGCTACATAATCCTGAGAGAAATGGAACCCACATTACTACTGCATCTTCGCAATGGTAGACCTTTCTGATCTGTAACAGGCAGCGCTCCAGGGTTTTGGTCTCGCTTATACTACGGCTCGACACCGTAATGTTTACCCCACAAATAATTGAAAGCGCCATTGTTAGAATATTATTTTTATTTCTTTCACTAGTTATATTCATAGTTCTGTTCAGAATTGTTAGCATATTAGATGATACCTGTCATTCCCTATATCTCTCTGCGTAGAAGAAGGAAAAATAACCAAAAAAAAAGATATACCCTTTATAGAAGTCCTTTATGTGAATCAAGTGTCCAAAAACCAACACGCCTTAATTGATAACCCTTTAGAGAAAAATCATACCCGCGTAAATGGAAGACGAATTATTCACTAAGAGAACATGTGATTTTCGCATATATCGATGTTAGCATGATTCCAGTGTTATCAAGTTGGTGCACTTTCGAATAGCCCTCGCTGGCCTAGACCCCTCGATTTAACAGATTCTTATACTATGAGTAACTGATATCCTCAACATCAGGTTTTTCTGCACTCATGGGCGAACAGCAGGCCCTTGTCTCGGTCACTAAAATCTATCCTTTTGGAATACGTTCCAGTGGCCTATAGTTTACCCTTATTATGTCTAAAACACCTGATCTATAGAGTAGTTCTTATTGATTAACAAATGAAAAGTAATAGAATCGAATATCCGGTATGATCACGTAAGGCTCGTCTTTAATATTACACAAATGATATAAAAATCCGAAAACACTAGCAGCGCCGATGTTCTTCAGTCTAAGTCAAAAGCTGAATCGTACCTTAAGTTTATTTTTATAAATTCGAACTTTTTATCGAATTAGAAATTACAAATCTAAACTGAGTTTGCTACTGTAAGACTGTAAGTATAAGGAATCGAGCCTGAAATGCAGGAGATCAAGGCTTGTTTACTCCGTCAGAGAAAAGCACTCAAGGGCCACGGTCGCTTTTTTATAGGGCACGCCGAGTGATCAAAATATTACCTATTTTTCCAAATACACAGGAGTCACAGACTACCACTGGGCTGGCGTATTGCTCCATTCCACAGCTCAGCTATTTCAGAAAAGGCACGGTTTGATCAAGGCAATAGTTTTGCACCAGCTCGACGAACTCGCGCACATTTAAAGAACAAACCTAGTGATCTCAGTTTGACGACGCGATCCACAAGGACTGGCCTTCAATGATTACTTACTGCGTAAAAATACCACGCAACACCATATATAGCTATCCTACTTAAAGGACTGAAGCTAGATAAAATGCAAAATCTACTGATGTTACTAGTTTGTGGTATACAAGAAAAATAATTAAATTATGCGGCTTCACGTTCTTCGAGACAGAATAAGTTGGATGGCTAGTGCTTACCAAACGTTCACACAGAATTAAGTTTTTGGCCAAGCACTTACCGAAATTTAAAACCTTTCGGTGATGCGTAGTTCTCGACGGCTTGTTCCGCCAATTTGTAAGAGCAGTAGGTCTGGCCGAGATGAAGATGCGGCACGGCCTCTGTTCCTCCACTATTTCTGAGTTCGAGTGAAGTGGATCTTGTCGAATTTGTTTGGATTCTGTTTGTCCCAGTTGGCACGCCTCCGGCAACGGAGCCCTCGGACTCGGCTTTAGAGTGAGCAGAGTTCCGCGCGGAGGCCCCCACAGAGGATCCTGACGTGCCTCTTGGACCCGAATTCCCAAGAAGAGCTTCCAGTGTTGATGTGTTTCTTGGACCTATATAAAGTAACAGCAAAGAAAAAGACCCTTACACAGCTTATTCGCTCGCACATATTGGTAAATTGGAACGTTGATCCTTTTGAAAATCACCTTGAAGTAAAAGATCATACTTTTAATAGGTTTAAATACTGGTAAGGATCCACAATTTACTAATAACCGGATAATACTATTTATCATAGATATTCGAAAGCTTAATGCATGGATGGTTTACACATTTATATCTTATTAAAGCAAATTCTAGATTCTACCATAATAATAATTATAGGCCATATAGATCAAACCCAAATACTCCATAAGCTTAGTCCCTTCTGGTGTCATACAGACCGCAAAACCAAGTTTCATCTTCATATTGAAAACTCCCCCCTCTAGTATGAAAGATATTGCCAATCGCGTAGACTCATCTCATAAATGCCCTTTATCTCTGAAATTCCCAGTATTATAAGGTATTTATAATAATTCCCAGCATTATCAGATATTTATAATATGCAATGAGTGTCCTGCGACAGCTGAAATCTTGTAACATCAATGTCTTTACTGAACGTATCATGTCAGTAAAACAATGGAAATAAACTGTCATTTAAAACAAGCGTGCAATTATATAGCTGATATTAAAAACTGAAACTTTTGATACTGCTAGGTTTTAGCTAGAGATCGAACTCTAGACTTAATACCTGTGAGTCTGGTGCCCTGTCTACAACCGCTACGAACAGCTTATATGTAAATTACGGGTGCTATTGTAAAGCTGCTTCTTAAGAAACCTGTTTTCATTGCAACGAACAATTGTCACCATATGTGAAACCCAGTTTCCATCTCCTTATATTTAAGTGAGTTGTTTTTTCGTCGTACGGAAATTAAAACTTTTTGTCTATGCAAGTTTTCAGGAAAGGGATGTGGATACGACAGTTCACATCGCCAAATAACTACGAACACCTTTTACTAAGAAATATGAATCAACAAAAAGACCTACACTAAATCTACAAGCTATAAACGCGGTAACTATACGCATAACCTTAGCACCTGCTATAGTACTACGTACCGGCCTTCAGAGCAGGGACTTTTGATGTGAGATCTTTTAGATGTACTACTTGACGATTGCTGTTGTTTTGATGATGAGAATCGTTTACAGAGGCGCGAATCGTTCCTGGCGTAGTGGCCTTCTGTAATGAAGACGTTGGCTCTGTTGCAGGCAGCTGCTGTGTCTGCTGCTGCTGTAGACTGCATGCTTTACTTTTTTTCTTCCTGTTGGCATTAGTTGTAGTTGTCGGTGTCACCGTCGCGAGCGAGCCAATTTGCATCTGATTCGATCCAGTTGTAGTAGCTCCTTGTTGGTTATCACTGCTGCCGTCAAGCGCGTTATGAACAGCTGAGTGCTGTCGAGTTGCAACGTGCTGATACGACAGCTGAGGCTGGCTGAGGTCAGCATAGAGAAGACCCTGGTCACTCCCGCATGAATCTATTTCAACTAGGCTAGAAGGGTAACCTTGCTGCTGTTGCGATGCTGTTATTTGCACAACACTATGAGGTGTAAGCGGTGGTTGAGACATTGACGACGAACGACTATTTAGCTCTATCACCTGAGATGCTTGTCCGACAGTAAGAGGTTGCATTTCCTGATAATGGGGTTGCGATGTATGTGGGGGTTGCGACGAAGGAGGAGCTCCGTGTGCATGCCCTCTGGTTATAACATCTGTTGCAATCTGCCCGTAGTCACCAACATATGGAACCACCTGCTGGACCACTGATACTTGCTGAGTATGCTGTGGTGGAGGTGGTCCAGCTTGGTGTTGACTGTATACTTGTTGACGTTGCTGTTCTGAGCCGAATGGAGTATTAGCAGCAACCGGCCCGGATTCTTGCTGTTGTCCGACAACAACACTGGTTGGTGCTTGAGGTCCTGGCACATTTACTTGTTGAGCTAAATGGTGTTGCTGTGGAAGTCCAGACTGACTCGATTGCTGATTTTGCGGTGTCGACGACACATCAGGCTGCGGGTGATGTCCGGCCGGGAGGGTAGGTATCGACATTTGCTGTTGTTGGGAATGCTGAGGAGGCGGATGTTGTTGTGAAGGCACAGAATACAGCGGTTGTAATATCGCAGTCGTATGTTGAGGATTTTGTTGATGTTGTGGTGCTGGGTGGTACGATATAGGGGGGTGGTATTCCATCTGCTGGTATCCTCCCTGTGGATGAGAAGAGTACATATGTTCAGGAGGCGGACCTGATGTAGCATACTGTTGATGATGAACCTGCTGTTGCTGCCCACTAGGTTGGGGTGGTGGAGCTGGCGGCTGCTGTTGGCCCTGCTGTGGGCCTGTCGCCGTTGTTGCTTCCGACTGATACCCATGCTGAACAGTTATTGACTGCACAGCCTGCACCGGTTGCTGGAAACCACCGAGATGTCCGAATGATGGCAATGGGGGAAGACCTTGCAAATTTTGAGGATCCTGAGGACCTCCAGTCGTTGCTTGAGCTAGCTGCTGATTAGTGACTGGCACGTACCCCGTTGTTTGTAGTTCCGTATACTGCACACCACCGCCAGAGGGCTGATACGACGGTGGATGTTCCATAGGCTGGTATATCGACTGTCCTTGATCATAGTACATCTGCTGTTGCGGATGTATTGAAGCCATTATAGGAGTCATCTGTGGACTTTGCGCCGGAGGTGCTCCACTGCCGGTAGCGTCGCACCCAATCTGCGTCTGAGCTAGAGGTTGCCCAGGAGTGGCTGGTTGTGGATGTCCTGGAGGGGGTTGACTACTAACTGAGTTTTGATTTTGATGACTATTATTGGAAGGTGCAGGGGGTCCACACTCTTTGAGGTCCATCGCCACCACTTCCAATCGCTCGCCATCTTTCGTCACCCCTAACCGGATCCAGGTGCCACAATCACCGCCGGCCGCCTTCCTGCAAGCCACATAATTCGCAACTGAATACATGTACCTATGTTTTGCTAATAAGCCGCCGGGCGTACCAAATTATAGGACTCAAGTAAAATGAGTAGAATCAAGTGAGACTTTTCGCGTGTAACATTCAAGAACAGTTTTAATATATTTGTACCTTGTATGGTTATTACTACCTACGAAATAAGTTGCAATACTAGTAACGTTCAACCTATGTCTGTTCGAGAACTTCTTTCATTTCATTTGTTCATTTCAAACCAACTAGAACGTTCTATGAGTATTCGTGCTAATGAAGGAATTCATGGAACAACGGAGGGGAAGATACCATCATTGACTAATAATACATGGCTCACCAGCATACAGCTGCTTTAGTTAGCGCGTTTCCCTAGTACATTGCATATTGAAAATATGGAATTATTTAAGCAATACTACCATGCACTGGACGTTTTTATAAGATGAAGAGACGGGTAAGATATCAGTACGACAGACAAAAGGTAAGCACATAGCTTTTTGTAACATATAGAACATGCAAACTATGATTACTGAAATGGATTGAATTTGTTCTTATTTAAATAGAATATCGAATATTTTTTGCGATACGGCAGAGTGGTAATATCGTTTCCCGACTGGCAGGTAATGATATTACAGTTCCGCAATCCAAGAGTAGCGACAGTTCTCTCAGGTGGACCGCTTATGGGTCAGACCATTGGATATATGGTCAGAATGAAGTAATTGTAAAAATATGATAACAATAACATACAGCAGAAGCAAACAAATACATCATCGCAAACTAATACATACAACCCCGCAGTACACAGTTCTATGCACAGTTAATTGTTCCATGATTTCATGCTGACTTTTACCTGTCCTCATATGTAAATCGATATTCGAAATCATCTTGTGGTGGCGCTTCAAAAGTTATCAGAGAGGTCTTGCTGGGCTTAATTACCGTTTTTCAACAGACTCTATCCAGGGTGACCATAATAAAAGCTCCTGTATTTAATAGCCCTGTTCACTCATTTCTCCTTTTTATACATCCTTAATCATCATCTGCCAACGCTAATATCTTAACCAGCAATGGCCCTTATGGTTGCTGTTCACGATACGCATGGCAGAGGTGCATATTGCAAAGATGCACATTAGCCACCCACGTAACGCCGCTTCTTACAATTTCAGTACTAAGTCTCTCTTCTACATTGTGAATAATAATTGACCATTCTTTATGAGTCGTCACCTATCTTCCACTTTTTCTTGCTAGCTGTCAACATAGATACTAATCTTTTCAAAAAGTTTTAAAAAATAACGCTTAAGTTCATTTTGACCGGGTTTCTGCTCGGAAATATATGTTGCAATAATTCACATTGTTTTATTCCACTTTCCTACAGCAAGCAAATAAAGCAACTGCATCTACACGAGTACCGCTTAAACATTCGTTATTATATACGGGGAGGGTGGGGATTAAATGAGTAAAGAAATATGAGTAATTTATAAATATAATATAAATATATAAATAAAATTTACAAAAAGGTTCAAACCGAGATACATAGTTTTGCAGAAAATAGTTTCTCATTTCCATTTGAGTTGAGATCGCGACATTTTTGAGGATATTCGATAGTGAATTCACGTTACAGCAAGTTGAAACCAAGGACATCGTGGGAGTACCGGGCAATCTAGGGAAGCACTGCTTATTGGTTCAATCAAATAGCCAACCTCGAAGAGCAGAAATCGCTTCATAAATCACGTTTTCCATTTGGTTACCAATTTGGCGTGATATTATAAATTAATCACATATAGCTACATAGAAACACACGTATATAGCTGCACATTAAATACAAAATAAAGTTTTTATCGCTAGTGTACGTATTATTACACTGAAACGACAAGTAAAATTCTTTCACTTCAAATAAGATGTTTATCAAATGTTAATTAGTAATTTCAACGACAACCTTAAAGTGCGTACATCAATCGACGTTGAATAAGAGCTTTAAATGTAAAAATAATTAATCTGTAAAATATTTGTTTATAGAAACTAGTTATAATATACTTCTGTAAATTTCTAGTGCTGAATTGAACGTTTTCAGTGTTGCAGCACAGAAAAAATTCTGAAAATAAAACATACGTTCCTTCATAATGCAAACACGTATCGAAAATCTAGTTTTCGATTTCGAACTAAAGAAATTCGAAAAACTAGATTTTCGATACATGTTTGTTTCGAAGCTAGACAGAAGCTTAAGTTCTATTCTGTATTAGGTCAAAATATACTGATTGAACACCAAGTGAGTATTCATATTGGAAGGACAGGAGCATTTTATTACTAGCAGACAGTAAATAGGTGCCTCTAAAACAGTGTAGTAGTAACGTGCTTGTCTGCTAAACTTAAGGACGCGTGACATCCTTTAGGTTCGAAACCAGCCATGAACACACTGTTCTGTATTGGATACCAGTGATCTGAAACAATGTCTAACGACAGTACCGGATGTAAAAACTTGAAACATTTAGCTAGTAAAGGGTTATCTAACACGTTAAGAGTAGAGAATGAAACTAAATGCTTAGTATTTCCATCACTGTTTCCTAATAGATAATAAACATGTACAGACTTTTTAAATGCAGCCTTGTGTGTAGGCTAGTGTGTTACAATTAGGGCGAAAACATATCACTGCTAAAGCAAGAGTGCTTACTTTCATCAAGCAATCAACTTGCATATTCATAGTCTATTACGATTATTACACACTAATGCTAGTTTATGGATACAGAACGCAGAATTTTAACTTGCGAAAAAAACTCATTGGAAAACCTCAAAATTCGCCCTTTATAAAAAAAGATGGTATTTAAGATTATGCTTCGATAAGCAAGCTCAGTTACTACAATAACTTAGCACTAAACAATAGTAGTGCCGTCCACAGTATTGTAAAATGCATCGTATTATAAAATAATACGATATACATTATATAACTGTTCAAGCATCATATAATATTGTCGCATAACATCTCCGTAGAAACAGCAGCACCTAATGTCCAACGTTAAATTGTCAACTCAAAAGGCAAGTTGGATGGTAGATTTTTATTAAAAAATATATGCCTAACAGTTGCAGTAAGTGGTTATTCTAAAATCTGTTACTACGCACATGCATTTACGAGCTACACTGACGTAATAAGTAAGCGGTAGTAATAAAATGGTAGGTTGATACATACGACTCCTTTCGACTGCAGTTCATTTTCAACCGAAAATAACGCAGGCGTGGTTGCGGTGGTGGACACACATTATTTTGAGTGGCCCATTGAACAGTCTTCTGATAATGCTTGATGAAACGATGCCGGCTTGCTTCCTGAAACGCCAGCAGGGTTGACATAAACTCATCATACGAACTAAATTGCTGGCCCATTTGAAGGGTCGACATTTTCCGGCCGGATGAATTGATCCCCGAGTAGGACCGCAATGAACAAGTCGTCCTATAGGAACGATCTCCGAATTTTAGGGATTGTTAATAATGGTGCAAAAGTCGGTCATCAAGACTTGCCCAAGCATTCCATCGGGCGGAGGACAGTTCTGTCGCCGCGGGGGCTCGTCCACTTCACAAGGCATAGGATGATGGCTCCGCATCGGTTTCCAATTTGAAAACTGTGTAAGTTTATTTTCACAAACGACAACACGGGTCTGGTGGCTGTTTTCGGGAACACAAACGAATATAACTGTAGCACTAACAAGAACAACATCACAACTTAGCGAATACTACATTCGCTACAGTCGTCAATGCGATGTCTGACGATCGTCGACAAATTTACAACAACAAGAGCAACAACGCGCCGCCGGCGGCGTCAAACTGAAGCACACCATTAACTCATTTGCACTTGGTTCTATTGCACCACTCGAACTGATGTCGATTAATACCTCCAACAAAGTTCTTTACTCATATTTCATTGAGTAATTGATGAAACAAGGTATAACTTGATAAAAGTTATTCACTGCGCTGCTGACAATAGTGGCTTAGGGTGAAGCCCGCAGCAAGAAAGCTATAATCTTAATCGGGTCGCGTCCCCCTTCTGAGCAGACAGGGAATTGTTAACAGATATTCATAAGGTATTTTTCTGAGTAATCATCCGGTCCAATTCCTGCAACTAGAACTGCATTTGTATGGAAACCTAGGCCGCTGTCCACTATTGTCAGACACCCTCAGTCAACGAACTCCATAGCCAGCCCGTACGTCTTTCGTGAAAACTATTCCAGACTTCAAGCTTTCAGTTCACCTCGGGCACTAGAGGCGAGCCGCCATGTCTGTGATGGGTTTGTGTTGTTTTGAGTGCACCACGCATGCGCATTCGGCGATGCAAATAGAGAATATCGCTACTCGTCATTATAAAATTAACAAGAAATTAAAGCATATGCTGTGACTTTATATATAAAGTTTCGTAGATTCCGATATCCTTAGGAAAACACTTGACTAGGAAAGGCGGGAAGAGACTTAACTAAAGCTGAATAACTACATACAACAGAGTCCAGAGGCTAAAACAGCGGAATCAACCTCGGGTGGTGACTAGCGGCAAATTTGAATCCACAAATATCGGCTATGCCTGAGCTTCTTCTTTCATTGCATGCTTAATAATTTAAGAATCTACATATCGATTTCTTACAAGGTTATTTATTAACTCGTTAATGAGGAAACTGTTTTAGAAAATACCTTAGTGTGGTGTAATTTTGATTCACCTGCTTTGATTGTCTTGGGCGAGTTACTTGATCTAGTCAAGAACCTGGAAAGGGTTGCTGGTATATCCGTTGAATATTATTGTTTGAAGGGAGTTTCCGTCAGTTGTTTCCTGCAACTGCGACGCGCGTTTGAGCCGCTCAGTGTGTTTAAGAGTGGCATGAGAATTCGAAATAATAAAATTAAGTTCATCTGTGTGCTGATTCTAAAGATAAGCCTAGGAGCGTCAGAAGTTTACTGCGTGTGTTAAAAGTTTTGCGTTTGTGGTAAAACGTAAGCCGAACTTGCGAAGAGATGACGGGTCGGTTGCCTGCAATCGTTATTGACGGAGGGACGGGGTAAGCACTAAATCTTTGATCTTTGCACCGCTTTCTTTTGCAATATTTTTTTTTAATTCTTACGATAATTGTCTTTTGTTTTAAGAAATTACAACGACCCATACAGATTAAATTAGATTTAATAGGCAGTTTTTTACCCATTAAATTTATTTAAAATTTGAAGTATAAATTGCTTTGATAGTAACGACTAACGAAAGCTCAGCTACCATTAAGTAGTTCGCCGTTTATTTGGAAAGCTACGTTTTGCTGATATGGATATAATAAAAAGACTTATTGAAAAAAACGAGAAAAGACACATGATATTTAAAATATATTTGTACATTAGTTATGTAAATGGTTTGATATTTCGACTTTAGATTTTTAGAACTTTAGATTTTAAAAATTGACGTAGTATGTTAGAAACTCACAGCCGAATTAATATAGAATTTGAAAGTTGTCCTATATTAGTTCACAGTTTTCGTTTCAAAAACGAGTAACCCCAGATGTTTATATCATTGACTATATACTGTTGTTTGAAAAGTAGCATCTAACTTGCTCTAGCTCTTTCATTTTATAAAGCACATTAATTTGTCATGATTTTAAGAAAACAGCATAAATATAGTAGGAATTGTAACCAGTCAACCATTTAAATATTATCAAACTTGATACCGCCTACAAAAAAAGGAACGCAATTCAAATGATATAACGTAAACACTTTATCGTAGACGTAGTAGTGCAGTAGCGAAGAGGTTACGCTCGTGTCAATGCAGAGAGAGTGCTATGCTATAATTTAATTAACGACATTCTACTCATACATACGTGCCAGCATAAACGTTCAGTAAAAATAAGAGTGTAAGACATGCCCGTATAAGATATTATCATTTCATCATTTCAAGGTATAAAGTGAAATTCTCTTTAACACGAATAAGGTAATTCTAGTGTGCAGCGTTCACAACAGCAACTCTATCCTCATTAGATTCTTGCTATTTCACAAGGTCATATTTTTGTTGGAATTCATTTGTTTTCTTTGTTAAAGATTCTGACACAATTGGCCCAATTCATCTCATACCTCCCGATATGAAACATTAAGGTATGAAGCATACCTGAACTAATGCATGCTTCTCTCACATTATTAAAATTGATATTGAATTAAACGTCACATGTGATAAACAATTGCTGCATGCTGTAAAGTAAAAAAATTGCAAATGCTTGGTTTTACCGTTTTGACAAAAAACGTACTTAATATATCATTATATTAATATAGAAGCAGCCTTGCAGTTTTCTTAAAATACGGTCGATAATTTACATCGAAAGCAAGGCTTGTACTAAGTTTGTACCTCTCGATAATAAGCATTCGATAATTCAATCTATGCCAATGTGCGCGTCGTAGTGATCTGATGTCTAACTTAGACGTTTGAAAGACTCGTCCCTCACATAGCATTCTGTGATTAAAAGCAACAAAATGCTGGCCCTATGAAACGAATCTTCAGGGTCTCTATTGAATGCGGCTGGAAGGGTGGTTAAACCTCATCAGATATCTTTTCGTACTAAATTACTCCTATTTATACGAAGTCAAACAATTAAGCGACTATAATATTATGTAATAAAACTGCGTTCTCATAAACACGAAACTGTGAGGCGTTACTTCTTCCGAAGTAAAGCTTCTCCCTCGGATAGCTAAATTCCCACACCCCTAAAGACAAACAAACATCCCAGATTTCAATCCTTACGTGGAGCATGTTTTAGTAGAACTCGGCTTCAATAAATCAATATAGCGTCACAAATGGCGCTGTTAACAAAAAAAATAATTCTCTAATTTTTTTAAAAAAAAAAGAGTGCTCCATTTGGGATGGGAATTAAGGAAATAATTGAGGAAGAAAAGGAAATAATGAAAAATTGGAAAATTGATGAGTAGTCTTAGGCGAGTGTGTACTAAGAAGCAATAAGTGCAGTAATTAGTGATACTTCTTATAACTATTCAGTTATTATTTAAATAAAATCAGTTCACATACGACATGGCTTCACATGTACTAGCTTAACCTGGTATGTTCTGATAGCTGTTCCGTATTGCGTTATTCGTCTGTTCAACTTTAAATAGACAAGCCAAGTCGATTGTGCTACCCTTGGATCCTATGTATAACAGGTTTACAAACTGTAGCCCACCCGCTTGGAACAGTAAATCGAAACAGCATCCATTTTGAAGCAAAAAGGCTTTTAGGTTGATAAACGACATGTTTGTAAGTCCCTCAGGCAGTATTTTTCTCTTATTTCAAAACTTTAGATCTCAGCAGGGCAATTAAATATATTCTTGTCTATTCATTTTGCAATGCCTTTTAAACTTTATTTCGAGACGCGTTTATCACCCGCGGAATATTGCATTTATTGAAAGAAAAACCTAATCTAACGAAAGAGTAGCCGAGCTTTTTTATTATTTATTTAGGATTCAAAATCATAGCAAAGAGAATTATACGCAAAATTGAGTGAACCGTATGCAGAAATGCAAAAAGTAAATCACCCTCTCGGCAATAGTACGCAACTGGTGGTTACACAACACAGTTGCACGAAAAGAACAAAAAGGGTGTAGTAGTTTTCAGCTCTGAAGTTAGCATTTAAATTCATATACGATATTATTAATCACCCGTAACTTATGAAATTTAGAGAATTCTTTTAGGCCTATGTATAAAGTCTGTTCGTGAGTTTGGTTCTTCGTAATTTTGAGAGCGAAGGTTTGTCAAATCGTTGGATCCGAACGTAAGGAAAATTAAATTGGCTCAGAGCTATTAAACTCCTAGTGTTCCAACTATGGAAGCGGAGACACAGCATTTCCTTGTAATGAGCAATGGCATTAGTATTTTTTTTGAAATTACAGTTTCAACCAAGTATGCATTTCTCTCCACACAAAAGTGCAACCCGCTACTAATTAGCAACACTGCATTATTATGAAGGACTATACAGTTGATCGGAGATTGATGGTATATCGACCAGCGGTTATAACTTACACCCTAATAATAATCGAACTAGTAGTTATGCATTATTTACATCTTTGGCCGTTATATTCGCCCATTGTTCGCCCATTCGCCCAGTTTCGTCTAGACAGCATTCGTGTTTTCCGTAGGGTTGTGCCTTTACCACAATCCTCGAGCGGTTGTGGCGTTTTAGCACTGCTATCTGTCGTCATAATGAGACCTCAGAGCTTTGTCTACTTCAGGTGTTCTAGGTTTTTATCTAGAGACTTCGTATAGTGTATAGTTGCTTGTTCGCAATAGGGCATTGTTTTTCTATTCCATCTACTTTCCTTCCGCAGACACTAATCTTAGGCGACCAAGCTGCCTCTTTTCTTCCGTGCTTCAGCGAGGGTAACCACGTAGACGATGGCCTAACGGGCTACCTACTCTAACGACTGGAGCAAGAGTAGCTTAGCTCTGTCGACGATCTGATCTGTGGCCTACATTCCGGTTTTTTCTTTCGTTTTGTACAATAAAAAAAATCGAGCGGTGAGGCAGTTGATTGGTGACAGAAACTCAAAGAACGGCTAGAGATTTTATACCCTGATGACGTTTTGACGTGCAGTTATCTCATTTATATTCTTGATCGTTGCGTCCGTAGTTTCCAAGTTTTCTAATTTGTTACCACTTCTATGGCGCTTTTTTGTTTGCCTGATTCTGCTGTTAGATATATTGTCATGTTACGCTGTAACGGTCTTATTTGCGTAATCCTTTCAAACTAATATTTAAGCTAATTAATCATATGGTTTAAATATTTTTGATTCCCGGTTCCTTCCGTGTGTATCGAAATATTTGTCTAAGTGTCGATGTAACTCTTATGTTTGAAAACAATCCCAATTTTGGTGTGCAAGAATAAGTACAGTATTTCTGATGCTATTTTACACGCGTTGTAAGATGAGGGGTGTGCCCGGGAAGAGTATTCAATTTTGAGTAGGGGTACGACATATAAATTGGATATCGCTTGGGTTTTTGAATACCACACTTTTTGTGATGATCTGTAGTGAAGTATACTAAGTCATCTTTGCCTGGTTAGTTGCTCTGCGACTGATGCAAATGCTTGATGATCATTGTTTAGTATAAGTTTAAAGTACTAGTGAATAATTGCTTAAATACGGATGTCGTTCCTTCTATATGCTGCTACTGGTTGATTCCATTTGTTGTTGCCCACCTCACGTTGTCATTTAGTTCTGAAATGCCGGTATCTCTCAATCGACCTGCAAGTGGATGTGGATATCATCTGGGAGAGTCATTCATATCGGGACAGCGAACAAGGAGTGAAGCAGCAAAAGATGCGCCAACTCTGTCATCATGATAAATAGGAGCAGGGAGCCTATTAACTCACGAAAATGTATTATACATTACAAGCACAAACGAGGAAGAAATATAATGACTACTTACGGAGGAAGCAATAACAGGTACCACCATTGACTGACGTGGGTGCTGAATGTAACTGTCATTAGCTTGGGTTACGTTCTTAAATCGAAGCTTGAACGGCACACAAGTAATTTTTGAAAACTTTAAAAATGGGTAATAATTATTTAATAGTGGTAGTGATATAGGGGATACTGGTACATCTAAACTCGTGAAGCTTTTGTTGAAGCATGCAATACGCAACGAGTTTAGTTTGGGCTGAAGAACCAACTATCTTAAAAAACGTGGGAGTCAAATAGCCCAGAAAGTTCACGAAAATTATTTGTAAGTACAACCGAATTTGGCATAGATACATCTGTCTGAAAACAATTTGGGATATGTTGAAAATGGCTTTTCTAGCTGTTTTGTGGATCTTTGGACTTTTTCAGTTCAATCCCTATTATGAATTATATGCTTTTCACCAAAATGGCTCTGGTTTCTTCCAAACCCTTACAGTGACGGACAATGGCATAGGCTGTTAAATAGTTTCTAGCTTCCGTCGGGTTTTTTTGGAAATAGAAACGGTGGCCAATAGATCTTCTGGCTCCGACAGGTGAGGTTGAAATTTTGTTTTAGAAAAAGCGTGTTTTTTTTTCTAGAGCAACGGTTAACAGATGAACACGCACATACTAGGACAAATCGCCTATTAATAGATATACAAATTCGGAACTACCACCTAATAGATCTAAATGGATTAAAGTCACTGATTATTAAGATTTCTTAGCTAAATTTAGCTTCATTAAAAACGCAGATAAGAACTAATAGAGAAAACCATACCTGAAAGATCTATAGGGTGTTTCGCGTTGAAATACTTCAGTTAAAAAATTTGCAGAAGGAAATGTTTTTGAAAATAAGCATTGACATTTTTTGTTGCATGAGGCATGGTTTATATACACCGCATTTACTCTTTTACAGGTATCCTGATACATTTACCATTAAATTTAAGTTGTATTTAAAATAATCAATATAAATGGAGACAAAAACGGATATCGAAGGTTTCAACAACTGCCATCTCCGTTGTTGCCACATCCTTGATTCGAAACGACGTTGATTCGCGTATACGTTAGCTTTTTTTCACAAAACTACCGCAATAGAGCTTCTGCGACACTGATAATTCAATGTTAGAATTATGATCAAAAGAGTTTGTGATATAATTACCTGTCAATATACTCCATTTATTCCTGACTAACTGAGGTACCTATAAACGCCAATCACATAACTGATTCAAGATATCTGCTCTGTGCAAGCGACCTCGAGTGGATGCATTTCTTTACCCATCTGTAAGTCATTTAGCAAAAAGCTGGAATGCTTACTTTTTCTAGAATCACAATAAATGGACTAAACGGGACTGCACGGACAAACTATTTGTAGCCTGGCTACAAGTAGTTTGTCCGTTCGGAAAGGTTCCGTCGTCCTAAAAATTAAGACGGCTGTTTTAAGGCTACTTGAACAAAAGTGGTTTCAATAGAAAAAATAAACCAACACCAATATATAAAACAGAATAACAAAAAAAAACGGACCATATTTTCAATTACAATATAAATCAATATTGAAAGATTTAGTAGCAGAACATTTTGTTCACATGGGTAAATTTTATTGTGAGATGTCGTATAACAATCACCATGCCCTCTTTCACAGTGCAATTATTAGTATTATTATTACAAATGGTTAGTAGAACGTTTCATAGAAACGTTTTAACTCCAGACATTTAAATTGTAATGATGTGCTTAACGCTTCTGCCTTTGATTCACGCATCGCTAGACACCGCTACAGTGAGATCTAAAGAGAACATCTTTTTGTGACTTTTTTGATTCACATACTTTCAAATTCATTTTGCAAATGCTGGTCTCTACGGATAACCATGTTTGTACTAAATACTGAGTCTAACAATAGCTTCAAATAGCTGTGGTGTTTAATATTGGTAAACATTAATCGCCCCTGAGTTGTTTTAATTATCTTTTCTTTTTTTACCTTGGGCAACGCACTAAGTTAATTAAGCTAGCTTGTGTTATGCATTTTCTTTTTCGTTTACAAGTTGTATACAAGAATTTCACTAAAGACAAGAATATATTATCAGTAGACCTAATGCCTGAGCTAGATCGCTTTAAAGACAACCACAGTAGAGTTCATCTGAATATATCGCGAGCACTTAAGTTGTGTTCATTCCGACGAAAGGTTTTTTTGACTTTTTCCGCTTATATTTGAGATATCGTAATAACATTTAATAGTGTATTCCAAAGCGACAGCTCCTGTGACCCGCTTGAAGTTGTAGGAGTTGTCGTCTTCCTGGAATCCGACACTAGCGTTTGAAATGTTCCACCACTGAGGCTCTGGAAGCTTTTAGTGAAATGTGCGAAGGAAGACTATGTTCATTCAATAGTTTGTCACAGGTTTTTCCACTGTATGTCCAGAAATATAGAATGTAATATAATGGTTATTTATCAGTATATATGAATAAGGGCTTTGCTTTTAAAAACCAGATCCTTTACATTTCATACTCTAGCATAGGGCAGTAGCTTCGAGGGTAAGAACACAGCATTATGATTAGAATTTTAAATATTTTTAACAATTTTCCTATTTCGTTCCCACAGGGTGAAACCTCTCATACCTAAGTGTCTCAGGATTATATCAACAAGTACAAACTCAGTCAGCGATAGCTGGGTGAGAATTTTAAGAACCTATCTAGATGCAAATCTAGGTTCCCTAGATGCAAACAGCTTACAGAAAGAAAATGTAAGAGAGTGAGAATATTTTTTACACCTGACGCGGTACATTTTTAACTGCCGTATCTAGCTAGTAATTATGTAACCAATTTTTTTTATTTGCGAAAATGACGCCACTGTCTCATCAGACCTTGACTATTTGCAATAGAGGTACGTCAAGAGCTTCTGCTGGATGCTTTTCAATGCTTATAAGCACGAAGTGGTTTATGGTCTTTTCCGCAACAAAAAGATCATGCTGGGCATCGGCGCATTCTACAGTTTGCTCGTTCCGTCAACAGGGAAAAAATGCACTGTTATGTAAATTAAATAATGAGAGGAGGTAAATGTCTTACAGGTAAAGGACATCTCTTGTGATAAACTGCAAACGACTTAGTTATCGAAAGAGTGGAAGCAATATTTACACTGGCCATTCGTTTCTTTGAGCTCGACGAATAAACAGTGATATTGCAGAGTGTTCTATTTCACATTGACTCTCGCGTTGTTCTGAATATAGATCTGAGGATGTGGCCTAGCATTATATTGCATTGTACGGCTGACGATCCTGTATGTGAGAGTAAACTAATCGACAACCAGCGACTGAGGAACTGAGGAACCTGTGCCCATTGAGGTTATTATTACCTCGTTATTTGATCAAATAGAAATTAGGGATCCAGGGGTTGAAGACTCTTTCAATTTTAAAAATCAAAATAATCATTTTCTAGAAAAGACTAACAAAAATCAAGTGTGTAAGTGTTAAATTAAATTAAATTAAAAAGAAACTGATTTTCTTTTTCCGCGACATAAGCCACATGACCCTCTGAAAATGTTTGTATTTCGTAATAATATGGAGTTGTTGAACACACTGTGTGAAGGATGAGTTGGTACAAGCTTCGACGATCTGTTAGATGTAGCGGTATGTGCTGATCAATGCTTTCGTGCTGGGTGAACGGCTACGCATATTACAAGCGTATAAAATCGTTGGCCTTCATTACTGCCGGTTGTTATTTGGCTCCTAGGAACATTTCCATGGAATAAAATTTAACCGGGTCTTTAACCGGGATTCGATTGAAAAAGTTACTGAAAAAAGACACAATTCTGATGATCCAAGGTACGATAAAGAATGCTTTCCAACTCAATATTGCTTTAACGGACTCCATGAACCAATATCGCTTCACTCACGGTTATTACCAAAATTTTTTTGTTTATGTAAATTACCTGTTAGCGCTTTAGACTATTAATTATGAGAGCTAAATTATATAAACACATCTATAATGCTATTTTACTGAGTAAAGATCTTATCAAATACATCTGTCATGTTATATATTGAGAAAAGAAGTCCTATCAAATCCTCGGGACCAGGAGATGCTGAAAGTTTACTTATATAAAGACCTCATAAAGGAACGACATAAATTTGTTTGAATTTACTTTAAGCATCCTATCGGTTTGTAGATATTTTCAAATCCCGCTTTATTGTGTTTCATTATAACGTGCTCTATATGAGCGCACGGTAACCTTGAATTGCGGCATAAATATTGTGAAGGACTAAGACACTGGCCGATGAGTGATCGCATAGGAATTTTATACTCTAACCGAGCCCACACTAGCAATTATCCTTTATTTCAATTCCTCACAACATCCACGCAGCACTTAAATGGCTTCTATAGCACATCTTTCATGTTAATTGCTTTCCATGAATGAATTCAACTTGTACCCGATTGGTTCCCATGCGGTATTGACTTTTCCTCCCTTTTCAGGGGCTCTACTGCAGACCCTATTCCTTCGTGTTCGAGTTTTATTTCATCCCTTGCTTCAGCGCTTTTGGATCACCGCGTACCGTTTTTGCGATGAGGTTGGTTTTTTCCCGTCAAAAGCCTGGTCACCAATCCATATACCTCTGTCAACGATATAGGCAGTGACTTTCGGATTCCTGCTCTTGACCTCGATCTTTTACGATCAAGCGGAAATCAGCTAGACCGATAGCAGGACGGTGTCGAAGTCAACTATTTTGGTTTATTCAACAGGTTTGGTCAGGCGAAAGTTTTGTCACTGCCATTAAAATTATGAACGACTAGACGACCGTTGTTTGAAAACTGTATATCAGCTGAGGCTCTTACACCCTAACCGCGTTTAAACTAACAGCTGTTTATTAGTTACCTTCTTGGCCAATATATTATAGTGATCCGTTCAAATTCGCCGTTTTTTTTGAATGGCCGCACGCGGTTCCATGTACGCGCTCTTGTCAAATCGGTTCTACTAGATGAAAACTAAATTAAAGGATGTAACTAAACTTGCCGCCATTGCCAACAACAGGCATTTTTTAATTAAAGCGATGATAAGCTTCTATCCAATGTTTTTGCCCAAGACGAAGCGTCAAGGTAGTAATAAATTACCAAATCCAATTAAAATAATTAATTATTAATAGACAGTGTACAACATTGTGAATAAATTTGCGGCTGGAGCGAAAGCAAACTCAAACGCAGCATAGCGGAAAATTCTTGAGAGATAAAACTATATAAATTTTAGGGTTAATTGACGTCGTAAAAAGTGCATTGTCTGATAATCCCTTTGTCCTGATAAGGTCGTTAGCGAAGCTTTATGCGGGTATGGCTGCCATGTCACATATTGCCTTCAAAGACGTCAAATACAAACCATATATTAGTTGGACATATACTCTGACATTTTAAAACCTTGAAACTAACTTGATATCGCGTACTCCCGAGGTAGCATGTCTTCGATTGTTTCTTGACAGAAAAATGTTCACCACTGATGCAGAGATCTACCGCAGAAGCGATCGCTAGCTTATAACGTCGAGGATATGTGTATGACGGGTGAAACTAAATATCTAGTTAATGTTCTCTGTGTGATGGCTAGTGAAGCAGACAAAATAACGCCGTACTTTTTTCTAAAAAAAGCTAACTTATCAGCAGACAACGTGTTCTAAAAACTTATGAGACGTGAATGTGTTTGAGGGGAGACAGACGTTTTCCAGCAAAATGGCTCATCAGCTCATCCTAGTTGGTCAATGTAGATGTGGCTACTTGAGAATTTTAGCATCTTTGTCATTAAGCACAGATGGCGGCGGAAGAACCTAGCTTAGAACCTGCTGTATTGCTTCGGATAGAGCATTATTGAGCGAGAGTCTGGCAGACTTGACATGACAACGTTGACTCACTCACTCGGCTTGTCAAGGAAGCATTTGCACAATTGCACGGGGAAACTTTGGAACAAGTCCGTTATAGGAGCTGTAGGCAAATTGAACGGCGGTGTTGTGAAATAAACTTGACCGTCAAAGCTAACAGGTTTTAGCAAATGCAAAGCATTTTGCTACAATATTTACTTTTGTTTAGATACAGCCTTGGAAGACGGAATTCCGAATATATGTATAACAAAAAATGGAAAGAGCCGCCAAACGCAATCGTAGTAAGTTCTACGGTGATACATTTTTGAGGTGATTATTGTTAAACGGTAACCATGAATACTAAAAATATTAAACTTTAATTTTACAGGAAAAAAGCTGTAAAAATATTTTTTGCTTAGATTTAAGGTTAACTGGGAGGATATCATAGCCACTTTTCACAAAAAAGTTCGTGTTAAGACCCAAAAAAGGCTAACAATCGAACTGTATGTCAACTGGCGTAAAAAGGTGCTCAAAAATACGTAGTCCAAGATGAGATTTCCTTTCAAAATCTACATTACAATTTAAAATTTTAACGACTTATTTTGATTTGCAGGTATACAAAACTAGGGTACGCTGGGAACAAGGAACCACAGTTCATAATACCGTCAGGTTAGTGTTTGACGTGTTTCGAACGTGTCTAAACTGACAAGTAAATGATTTTATCAGGCTTACTGCGAGTGCTTGCAATTACCAGATCAGAAGAGGTTTTCCCGAATGGAGATCAGCCCCAAAAGATGGGATCAAATTATTAAGAATTTGTGTCCATGTTTGTCGTTTTTCACTTCACTGCCCAAAAGAGTTTTTAGCGTTTTTGTTTTCAATATTGGTTATTGTGATAATATTTCCTTTTAAAAAGGTTGAGAAATTGCCTGTTTTTCCTCGAAAATAAATAAAATATTACCATTATGTCTAACTTCATCACTGTTACAATTAACACCATTTTTATTTTGGCCTTGGCAATCGAAAAAATCTTATCGGTACAAAGCTTTATATTGCAATGAAATATTTGGTAGCTGTGCGTTGCTTCAAAATTTCTGCACTAAAAAATTTCGTAATTTTTTAGTAGCAAGCTAAACGTGCAAAAAATGAATAGTAAAAGGCATAGTCCCTGGACTGGTTTGGCCAGCGGTGGTTCCAATGGATCTCAAGAAATGAAAACAAGTGGCCCTGCAGATGGTGTACCATAAATTATATCTGGTGAACGCGACTGAAATTTGCTAACACAGAAGGTAATAAAACAGCTGTAGTAAAAGTTGGTGGAACATTGTGATAAAAACTAACAAGTTATCTGTAAATGGTTACGGAATTAGTGTAGTGACGTAACTGTTAGTATAGAGCCAAGCTATGGTTCACACTGGGCTGTGTATGACACTAATTAATCGCATCAAAACTCTCATGTAAGTCTATTATTTACTAAATTGCCGATCTAAAAAACGTCTTGCTTCCTTTCATGGCTGTGTACCTTTAACAATAACGCTGAGTACCGTCATGTAGTATTGCTTCAAATACCTGGCAAATGTAAAAATACAATACAACTGGAGGGACCATGCAAGAATAGGGCTTAGTTTTGTTCCTTTTGCTCCATTTTTGAATTTGGTACTTTTGCCATTGCGCGGATTCTTAGTAAGAGTGTATGTAGGTTCAAAGTTCTAACATTTGTTCAAAAGGCTAATGTGTGAATTCCATTCACAGGTACCAAATTCAGACTAGAATAATACGCGGCTTCAGTCAACGTTGTCTGACTATACCCACTAAATATATATCTTTGTGTATTCTTAACCTTAAATTTATACTTTTTTAATACATATTCTTTAAATACAAGCTAAAATGTTCAAATCTACTCGTCACTGCCACCGAACTCTATTTCCTTATAAGGTGATGCCGTCCTCTTGCCTGGTTTATGGCTAGCGATAGAAATTGAACCATGTCTTGACTCAGGCGGGTTATTTTGTTGATTTAAGTTCCGTAAATTGTTCATGGAATACATCATACACATTTTCCACTGGCCTGGACTAAATTCACGAGGGACCCAGATTTCATCCTCCGGAGGCGCGTATATCAAAAGTTATTCAATTCAAAGTTCGTCGGATTTGCTTACAACAACCCGCAGGTTCATATCCTCTATATAATTCACCCTCTGATGTGTCAAAAGATTCGTGACCCACAGAAGTTTTTTTTATATGACAGTCCTTATCGTTCGGACCTGTCAGTTTCGAACTATCCTATTTCATCCGTGAACTAAAGATCTGCTAGGAACCGATGTGCAACATACATATCTAATCTTTGGGAATTGTTTTCCTAATTAATAAATTAAGAAAAGTTAGGTTAAATAGACGAATTCAACATAATTTTGTAGTTTTTTATAGCTTCACTGTTGCTTTAACATGGCATATTTTTTCTATGTTCCAGCAATTGCAATTAAGGAGAACGCCAAAATCGGAGATATGGCGACGCGTCGCTTAGCTCGTGGTGTCGAGGATCTGGATTTCTATGTTGGAGACGAAGCTGTTGATGCAGCTGGATATGCAGTCAAATACCCTATCCGGCATGGAATGGTTGAAGACTGGGATCTTATGGAAAGGTGCGTTTCTGCAGATCTAGAAGAAATCTGATCCTAAACATATATGTAAATCCCGGAGGCTTCAGTTATTCGTACCCTTTACTAATGTAATTTTCTAATAATCGATTATCACATACAGTCTAAGAGCTCTTTTGTTATCTTTGAAGCCTGTTGTCATTGTAATCTGATATCTAAAGAAATTTATGACTAGGTTTCGAAGTTATGATTTATTCTTAAAGCGCGACAACTGAATGTTTTTTAATTGGATTAAAAATTCAAATCAACATTTTAAAAATACTCCGAATTTAACATTACATGTGAAAATCGTTTAAAAGAAAAAGATTTAAAAATCATTAAAAAACAACGAAATAAGCTTCTATAATGACCAGTAATATACATCGATAATGGTCATTAGAAGATAATGCTAATGAAGATATAATTTAGCACTTATTATTGGTGTATACTTTTTTTTATATTAAATTTACTGTTCGCCTTTTCTAATGTCATTTGCCGTCCTTACCAACTTTAAAAAAAAAAAAACAATTTTTGACTGTTTGCTGTTTTTTAGTTAAAAAATAGGATCCATATTATTTTTACTAAGGAAACATACAAATCCAGTACAAACACGTGTCAAATAAGGAAATACTGCCGTCTGTGAGAACTAATTCCTAATTTTTTCCACACGCGAAATCTCCTTTAAACGCCTTCCCTTAAATTGCTGTTTTTGAAATGAACATATTAGTAGTCATACCATTATTGTACTTACAATTATTGATTTTTTAATATTAATTTAAAATAAATTGCTATTAATATTAGCTCTTTCATGCACCTATATTATTTTCCTAAAAGATGTATTTTGCCACTGTATATTTGAACGAAATTATGCTTACTTAGCCTGTACTGTGTTGACGGTAAAAATGTCAGTTCGTGTAGTGTAGAAACCAAATTGGGGAACGTAAGAAGTTTGAGATAAAACATTAATTTTCTAAATATGAGGTAGCAAAGTGTGGTGCTGCAATAGTGATCTACTGAGCAAACAAGTTGAGTGTGAGAGAGAAAAAAGTGTAGTTACAATTGTCATTGAGTAAATAAATGAAGATTGCCAGTTATACGTCCTACAGTGCTGTTAACAATTATCTTCTGACATTATATTTGCACTTAGACCTTAAAAGAAACGGAATTACAATGCCGTACAATTGGTAAATCACCTCCAGACCCTGAGAGGGCACAACAGTATATCTTAAGGCCGATCCATTAGCATATCATTCTCGTTACGGTATTCTGCCATATTGCTGATAACTTTGTTATACCGATAGATTTCTAAATTGTAGAAGTACGCATCGTCAGTATATTTTCACAGCAACTGTAATTTTGAAAACGTTTGATAAATCTCAAACATATGTACCTTGTTCATGATCTATTTATGGTTCATTACTTTAAATTGGTTTTCGTGTATTATTTTATACTTTCATTATCTTTAAACTCAAAGTATGACATATATATGAAATATCATCAAAGTTTCTGCATTTTGAAAAATGACGCATTTACTTTAAAACTGTAACTCCAAATTATTATAGTCATTGTCTAGTCGATGACAACAGGGTTGGCAGAACAGTCTCTACTAACTAAGAAGTGAGTAAACGTAAGTTGCGTGAGAATATGTGAAAACCAAATATTTGCAATAACACACTTCTTTTAAAGGTTTGTCACGATGGTGCACGTATGCCTGAAGAATTTAATTTCTTAGTCCACTCTAAAAGCTTGCAACAAGTTACTATCGTGTTTGTCGGTACATACGCATGTTTTTACATTATCTCTGTATTATATTAAAAATACTGATAGAGTTAAGTACATCATTGAGTTTATACGTATGAATTTTACATGAAGATCTCAACTCTGTTTTGACATTGACTCTAACTTTAGAGACTACGGTCTCTGAAAAAATTTTGAATCAATTTCAGCAGTCGATCACTTAATGTGAGGAAGCACCTTGAGAAGCTTGGGATGAGTAACTTGTTCGAACGCTGAAGTCAAAGCGCTGAGACATGTTGATGAACTTTATAAACTGTGTTTCCAGCACCTACAGCACCTAGGCTTGGTTTCTGTTTTTTGACGAACTGAGCATTGGAGTCCTGGCACGTTAGCCTTCTTGTAGAGGGTTGCGCAGGTGTTGCTTTCTAGTAGTTTGCGTGTTACATGTTACTTATTCTCGCTTCTATTTCTTATCTTTTTTTGTTCACCGGGCACACTATGGCAGTTCGAAATATGTAAGACGTTTGACTAGTTTTATGATGTAAAAATATGTGAAAGAGGGATGTAAACTGAGATTCTGGACCTTTCAAGGATAACATAATTCTGTCCGGTATCTCTCTAGTTTGGGGTCGTAGTTTCTTTAGATGTTCTATATGTTTACTGAGTTGACATTTAGTACATCGTGGACAGTGAATTTAAGGGAGCCTTCAAGAAGTAATAAAAAATCTATTTAATTTCGCTACAGCAGTATGTACATGTATTCGAAAAAAGCACTAATTGTTTTTTTTCGTGACCAGCCGTATTTGAATTTCATATGTGCACCGAATAAGACTCAACTGGTTCTTCACAGTTATAATGTTTTGGATATTGTTGCAAATTGCTTTCGGATCACTGTTTTACCGAATGCTATGTTCTCTCATTATTATTCTCTGACGCTTATTACCTTTATTTTTATAGGAAAGTTGTCAAGTTTTTTTCAATGATAAATGTAGCTGAATTATATATTCGAAGTTTAGATAGAAGATGTGTTTCGCTTGGGTGGAACGTAGTTGTAAAATTTAATTTCCCACCACGTTGTTTAGATCCTTGAAATCGCTAAAGAACATTTTTCCGTTAATTCAGTCTAGATTTGATTTTATTGCAGCGTAGTTTTCTCTGTTTGTAACACTCATCATACCTGGAAATTCAGAACTTTACCAAATAATGATCAAAGTTGCTTGAGTTGGCAAGCTCTTTAGCATGTGACATTCGGTTGTCGTTAGGTAACGCAATACCAAACAGATGTTGTGCTTGTCATATTTGTAGCAAACTGTTTAGGAATAATTCTCCTAGGACTTGTATCTGTATGCGGAAAATAGACTGACATGAGCTGTATTGGTCCTAGTGGAAGTGCGGTCTACTTATACATGTAATAACGTCGCACGCGCAGAATCTTATTCCATATTTAAAAATACACGAACACTTCGACTACGTAATATTCTGGCCTTTCGGATTACTTCTAGCGGGTTTTTCGGAGAGCCATGTAGATTTCTTGATCTCTAGGTATTGGTCGAGAGTCTGTGTACCCTTTAGTATATTTATTTATTTACCATGGCGTCTGTTTTCGATTTTTGTCTGTCTTGGGTGTTCGTTGTTTGTTAGAGGTGCATTAAAAGTCTTGCATAAAAGTTGCAGTTGATGGAGTAAGTTATATTTTGGTGCGAGTTTTTATCGAGGTGTGTCCTTTTGGACGAATTCGAACCTTTTCTAGTTTGTTCTTTATATGATGTTCTCGCTTATATCCGCTTATGAATTAATCTTAATCTCATCGTCGCCATCTGACCAATCTAACATTAGTTTTAATGTCTTCAGTGGCAGATTCACCAGGCTTTTTTATTTCTTGCTTCATTTACCTTATCGAAATCGTTAGTTAACTAACGTTCGATATAAAAGTCATAACTTATGACTTATATATATATATATATATATATACACTTAGAAGTCAATTGCTTGATAGCACAGAGGTGTAGACGTAGTGCTCACTAAAATACTAGCTCGGGATCGAACAAAACACAACCTGAGTTGCCAAGTCATTGTTCGGCCTTTTAGATTCAAAAATTCTTAACCATTAAGTGATCGAAGTTTTTTGTATACGCTTAGAAAAAACAGAGATTTCATGTTTCCACAAGCGAATTACGGATGATCTTAGATTTCTTATTGCATCCATTACTACATATCTTTCTGCTTACAAATCTCTTTGAATATATTCCGCCTTGTTGTATCCTAACTTGAAACTTTCTTTTGTTCCAGTGCTGCATCTGGCATATATGTTGCATAAGCTCATTAGAAGAACCACGCTGATAAAACCTATTAGCTTGCTTGGCATTTCAAGATTAGATGAAGTCCAACTAGTCATAAATCCAGCATATATTATACTGAATGAAACAAATTAAGTTAAAGCATTGAAATGAATGAATGAATGAATGAAGCATTTCACAATTAATCTCAAAGACCATCAAAAGGTCTTGCGCGGAAAAAAATGTGTCTAGTAAACTAAAGGAAACTATATCATTAAAAAAATTTGATAATTCCCTCTACAACAACTTTCGATACCGATGCTTAGCATTGCGTTTCCAGACAGAGTACGGATTGGCCGAAACGAACGGCGTTTTGAGTCGACTCAACGGGTAGGCATCATCTCAGTTGAATTCACCGCGACACTATGAACCAGTGCTCCAGCAAGGAAAGTCTGGGGCCTTCCACTTTACATTCGGACCCGACACGCTAATATAATTTTTTCCCTAAATGATCTAGCATGACTTTCCATGAAGGGCAACCTGGGTAGTTCGTCCCCGCTGTGCAATTACGCGTCCACGAAACCCTTAAAGCCATCTGTCAAGGCCCTTTCTAACTTAGCATTAGAGAAAGCGCAATGGGAGTCACTAGAGCGCTCTAGGATCTTGCGTTACCCCAGGATATGAAATGCGTTTTGCGCAGTTGTGCGTAAACAGCAGGTCTAAAAGGGTCTTCTTTATTTGGTGCAAGTAATGTTGGAATCCAGCGTGGCTTGCGAGCACTTAACTAAAAACGCTAGTTCGTTTCCCGGCCTTCCCAGCTAATTCCTGATGCTCGTGACGATGTCCTTAGCTGCTTGAGTGTTGTGAAGGGGAATGGCAATCCATACGTTTTGTCATTCGCCCGGCAACTCTTTCGTTGTATCCGCTGTCAAATCCGCCTAGGTTTTCTGTTGTTCTTGAGCGTTCAGATCCGATGGGATAGTTCCTGCCAGGACGAGGACTGCCTACGTACAGACTATTCGGTAAGGTTTGAGGCGCCCTTCGAGCGAGGGTGTGTTGAGCGTTTTGAAGAAGCCTGCTATTAAAATTTTGGGTTGAGTCCGACCTTGCCCAAATTGGGGCTTTAAACAGGACGGTTGACTCCACCACTCTTATCAGCAACTGTCTTCCTACCCTTGAAAAATAAAAGTTTAGTAATATATTTACTAAATTCTGATACTTTCATAGCCCTACTATCGTGCTTTTTTCTTATATACACTGAAAGCGGCACACTGAGAAGCTTTAGTTACTGCAAAGCTACAGTTTTGACGTTGGGTGACTTACCCACTGTTGGCGAGTTTCTCACTCCCTGAAACAAAGTGATGTTATTTGGCACCGTTAAGTGCAAGGCCTGATACGTATCGAAAGTCGATAACCCTTGCAGCACACACAACATGAATTGTGCTATTAAGGTAATCACGACGTGCGCTCAAGGTACAATCATACAGGTACCAAAGTTGAACTTTCGCAAGTCATAGGTTAATTTATGGTCTGCATTGTTGATGTCGTATCCTTAATATTGGAAACTAACTAAAAATTTGGATGTCGGTGCATCGAGTGATTTTTTTGAATAGGCCTCGAGTAGATGATTGTTGACGAATTCTAGGATCAGGTCTTTCCTCAGGAAGCTAAATGCACGCTTGGTGAAAACCAAGCATGGTCCAGGAAGAATTTGTAGTTTTGTCAGTTCATATACAAATTAGATATGAAAAATTTTAGATTGGTCTTTTTATGAGCCGTTGGCTTATCCTCGTGTTATTCGGCACATATACGGACGGTTTGTATATAACAAGATCTGGAAATACAACCTTAGTAGCCTGCAATAGGCATATTTTAGCGTGAGAAAAACTCAAATTTCAATCGAATCTGAGTCCGTTCGCAAATAATAGTAATACCTTAACTGTCTACCGTTTTGCAACCGTGCCATATTTGCCTTTTCATTGTTTATTTTATGAAAGTTTAATACTTATACGAACGGGCACAACTAGGGCAAAGTCTGTTTTATGACAGTTGGGCTTATTTCAGCCATCACCACTATTTATTAATTTGTTATTCCTTTCTTACGCTTCACCCCGAAGCAATCCGCATCTTCGCTCAATAGTACTACGGGTTGCGATATTTGCCTCGTGTCCAGTGAAGGTTAATGTTCAGAGATTATATGCCTTCATGAAATCAATTGGTATGATAGGTTGACTTCACAGCGAAAGTTAAGAAACTGATATCACTTATCTTTGGCGCGGTGTCAATAAAGTATGATTATAATCGATTTGACTTAAAATTATAACAAATTTTGGTCGATTGAAATGACTTCTACTTTCAAAGACAACCCACTCAATATGCTAAGCTCGTTTCTGGAAAATTGATAAAATGTAACTAAAGAGGTTTTTATTGTTTCTAGAGATGATGTCGCTTGCAGCCAACGTACTTGGTTTTTCATTCATTTTTAAGAAAAATCGCTAACATTAAAAAAATATGCTATAGAGGTTATGCGTAAAGAATTCTAACCTATGATTGACTGTGTAATTTATATTTGGAATTGAGCAACCTTGCGTCTGGTTACGCATAAACTTGTAAACAGTATGTGCATGTTAAACAATATTCAACTTAAAATAGACTAAGCAGACAAGACTAACACTGGGTGACATAGAACACAGTGGTTACTGGATAATTCTTCATTATGACTTATATAATTATTGCCTAGCTTCACTAATCGTAAAAGTCACTTTAGTTTCTAAGAATTCATGAACATATCCGGATAATCCTAGCTGTTCTGCAAGGTCACGTAAACCGTCATCGTCTTAAATTTTACCGAAGTAACTACCGAATGGAAAGTGTAGTTATAACTGTGCCTTTTTTCATGCATGAGGATTGCATGTGTTGACAAGAAGGTTCTAATGTAACGATACGATGATGCATCTGATTACTTACATCCTTATCACTAAATTCTGCTCACAGGTATTGCTTGACAGAAGAAACCACACAGACTACCATATAGCGCTCATTTTCTTAAAATTATGACATCCATAAATAAGGTTGCATCAGTAGTATTTTATTCAAATAGCACTGATGCAACCTTATTTCTATAGCCTAGTCATGACGTTATAACTTACGCGCTTCTTAGGTAAAACTTGTATTGAGGCCTAGTATATACCAACCTTGGTTCTTCTACGTATTTTTGAGTGTTACCATTTCTTCCATGGCGCATGATACCTTGTCTTGCGAACCGTTTCCCTGTTCTAGCAGATAACTGTGTTATGTAATGTTGCAGGTTCTGGGAGCAAAGTATATTCAAGTATCTACGTGCTGAGCCCGAGGACCACTATTTCCTGCTGACTGAACCACCATTAAATACCCCAGAAAATCGCGAGTACATGGCTGAAATAATGTTTGAAACGTTCAACGTACCCGGGCTGTATATTGCAGTGCAGGCGGTGCTTGCCCTAGCTGCAAGCTGGAGAAGCAAAGCCGGAAAGCCCACGCTTACAGGTACGTCTCAGTACTTATTTTTAAATTAAAAAAAAAAACGGTTCTGTATACAGTAGGTTTTAAGTCGCTAAGTCGTAGGTTGTAAGGCAGGCTGTAGTATCCGCGTCAGAACAACGGTGTTTGTTTTTCCCTTCCGGCCCGTGTTGACATAATTTTTGTTCGAGCTTCTTTATTCCATCGACAAACAGAACTTCGTCTCAAGGGTGAGATTTACATTCGCTCAAACTCTGATTTCATAATGAACCATTAGATCGCCATGCTTTCGACGATCACATTGTGCGTCAAATCAAAAACCGACTCGGCTTATAGTGTCGTGTGTTCCAGCTCACAGGAAAAAGTACTTTTGAAAATACTGAGCTTCAGTCTAGCACGGAGAAAAAGATACTAAAATGAACCAACAATCACCGCGACCGCAGCTAAATCAGCATAGCGTGCTAACTGAAATCAAAAAGATCTTACTTACATTGTTAGAATTGAGATGTATTTAACAATGGTAAGGAGCTTATTATTAAACGCAGATATTAAGAAAAAGCGTTGTTAAGCAACTGAAACTATTTTGGTTGGAGGCATATGCTTATAGGTGCTAATAATACAAAATTAATTTTACACGAGTTTACAATTTTTCAAAAATTATGAAATTATCGTTACAGCTTTGAAAGTCCAAACGTCTCAATGCCTCACATACGTAATATAATCATACCTAGCTTCACCTGTAATTTAATCAAATTTAATTAAGTTTGTTAATACGGACTGTTAGGTTAAATAAATAATGTTATGCTTCTCACTCTTTGATAATGGACCTCTCACTGTAGGACTAGTTATAGACAGTGGGGACGGAGTAACTCATTGTATCCCTGTAGCCGACGGATACGTTGTGGGGAGCTGCATTAAGCATATCCCCATTGCCGGCCGGAACATTACGTATTTTATTCAGAACCTTTTAAGAGAACGCGAAACTGGAATCCCACCGGAACAATCTCTCGAAACTGCAAAGGTATTGTATTATCTAATTGCAATTAAACACGATTATATGAATAAAATCTGTTAGCACGTATAAATTCCAAGCTTAGTTAAGAAATGTGATAGAACATTTTATAATATTACTGTACATAATAAATTTAATACAATGATTTTTAATAAAATAAAATCAGTAATCTATGCATATGCCTAACTAAAGCATGCACGTATACGAACACCTATATTAGGAAATGCCCTAATATTGTTTTTCATACGAACTTGTACCTCAGGTTATAGGACACAGATAACTCGGCAAATAATATGACGAATGTACAATTTATATTGGAATAATTTTCAGGCGATTAAGGAAAGGTACTGCTATATTTGCCCGGACATTGCGCGGGAATTCGCCAAATATGACAAAGAGCCCGACAAATGGTTCTTGTCATATGAAGGCATGAACAATGTTACTCGTCAAGGGTTTAGCGTAGACGTAGGCTACGAAAGGTTTCTTGGACCGGAAATTTTCTTTCACCCCGAATTCGCCAACCCTGATTTCAATACGCCGATTTCGGAAATTGTAGACACTTGCATCCAAAGTTGTCCGATAGACGTGCGCCGACCACTCTACAATGTAAGTACTGGAGAAGTTCAATAAAATGAAGAATGTAATGTACTTCCAATAATTGTTTTATAGAGGGAAGCTACTACTGGTAGCTTTACATTTTTTTTAAATAGTAAAATGCATTTTTATTAAAGGTGAACACGTATTTTCTTAATGTAAATTATGATTTACCAAATGCAGGTCTTCTTTGTGGCCACAATTGAGCGCTAACCAAAACAGGTACTGCAAAATGGGGGCGACTCGAATCATTTTTCAATTGTTTCGTTTGTTTCCTTTGTGCCCCTATTGTCGCCGTGTCGATGGCTCTAACGTAGCTAGAGAAATTCATACTCAAAGTGCTTAGTTCACTCTATGAAGTAAGGTAGCTTGAAGCATTCATGATATTGGATCTAATGGAAGAAACCGCATTTTGTTTCGTTTTACACTCTTTTCACAAGATCCTTTGGGTTATTATAAACTAAGTAAAAATAAATGCGGTAAACTATCCCGATATTACTGATACAAAAAAAAAACTAAAAACATATTATTTTAACGTTGAAACATAAACAGAAGTTTTTTCACCTCCCTTTGTCTTTGGACATAAAAGGCTTGTCCAGACACTGCTGTGTTTTTACGTTGCCTGGATACCCTTTTTATAATATTGGATTTTCGAAAAAGCATTGATTGTTTTCAAGTCAAAATAGAAACAAATACTTTTTTTTATTTTAGAATAGTACTAAACTGAATATGTATTATTTTCATCGATAAACTTTTGTTGTTTTTTGGTAACAGCATACTCGCATCACTGTAGATGTTCTGTGGTTCCTGGGCGAAACTTGGTGACAAGTAATTTTTGCACCTCTTAATTGAAGCTAAATTGACACAATTAAGGAATTTCTACATAAACTGAAACAGATGATATTCTTGTGGTGGGCAATCCGAGCTACACGATAAATGCATTAAAATTTCGTATCCAAATTCTCTCAGTTTTTGTGGGGTAGCTATGTATGTTTGTGGTACATCATCGTCAAGATGGGAGGCAGCCTTTATTTACGATTTCCTGTCGATTTTTTCAGTGAATTGTTGTAGTCCGGTTAATTATTGACAGTAGAAGTCAGAACCAATCATTTTGCCAGGTAGTAGAAACCCGTAATGCGCCATTCCTTTCCAATCCCGTCAAACACACACACCTTTCTTTAATGTTAGTGTAAATATTAAAATTAAAGAGCGTATTTTATTTTTTTATTTGCACATTGTAATTCACTTCATCATCTGTGGTCAATCGTTCTACAATGGTTCGATTTTCGTAAATGGAGATACAACTAATTAAATTCTTTTGCGTCATTTCGTGTGGCACTCGGAACTTTCTTTTGTAGTTAGTTTTCTTCACAAAGACTATTTGGCAGCGGAATAGTTCTTTGGCAGCTCAGGTGTCGTTTCGAAATAATTCTATGAACTTTTTCCATGACTAGCCTACAAATATGAGGAGCATCTTTCACACCGGATTTCCAAAGCAAAAGCGATAAAACCATTTTTGGGCCGCTTTTTTTCGATAACACATATTGATCATGAATAGCAAACATTTTTCTGCGAGCCTTTCAGCTTTAAAGTGACGTTAACGTCAACCCGACGCGGTTTATATTACCTATATGAGACTCGACCAATATGTGTGAAAGCCATCCAGCTAGGAGAGCGGTTAATACTTTTTTGGCAACCCAATAATAACATGCTTAAAAAAATAGTAAACTCATACCGAAGAGAAATTTTCTGAAATAACCACCTTTGTATTATAGCATCAAAGAACTGCCCCAGAAGAAAGGTAAGTGAACGACGGGTTTTCTCTAAGAGGTCTACTGAACGACGTGGTAATCATATAACCAGCTAGTAACCTTAGCTTGGTTTTTTTACAGTGATGATTTCTAACATTTCATTTTTTTAATATTAACTAATATTTAATTCCTGGTAATTATTTTGCGTATTCTGACATTTGAGCTAGCGTTGCTGCATGCTTGTTTTGCAAAACTATTACTGCGTATTAACTACGCAGACCACACCGTCATGTCGCTATTTTGCTATGATGAAGCCTTTGCTATAGTTGGCTCTATTTTGTGATCGTCGTTTCAAGGCCCTGATTTCGTAATGTCGTTGTTGTATCCTGAAGTATTCAACAATAAATTTGTTGCTTCTCAAATGGTGGTAAATATAATCACCGTAAGAAAGCATATCTGACCGAGTACACCGAGTGGATAGATTACACGGCCAGGATGAGCATATTGGCCTACATGTCGTCGAAGTTTTGTAAAAAAATGTTCATTGTTAATGCTTTCGTGACCTGTAGCTGGTTGGCTTTTTTCGTCGTAAACTGGTACTTAACGGAAATATTGTTGGCTCAATTTAGCTTATATAGTATGCAAACTGCTTCTATTGTTGCAGTTATCATAGCAGATGTGTTTGGTTGAATGTGGCTAGCACCCGTATTCACCACGTCAGCGACCTGGTTTGAGCGGCCATTAGAGCACCGCCCGCGGGCTCTGCTCCGCTGCTCAGTTTCACTACTAAACACGTAAAATTTTATTTTTATAAATTTGTGTAGGATAATTAATACTTTATGATAGTCACCGTCGAATAACAGCTAACTATTATTTCATGATTTAATTTAAACATAGTGTTTTCTGCAACACACGCTGAGCACGTTTCTTCACGCAACAGTTGTCACCAGACAATGCCGGTGCAGCATTGAACGATCGAAATGAGAAAGTAGTTGCTCCCGTCGGTTAACGATTAAAATTTATTGCGCTGTATGGAAAAAAGGACCTATTTGGCCAATCGGCTCTATATGTTGCACAAATTTTTTTCCGGTTGAACCGAACCACTTTTTTCTTGGGTGGGACAAATTTGCTATCCAAGGGTTTGGTAGAACAGAGAAAAAATATATTTTAACTAACATTACATAGATCGTTTCTATCGGATAAATCGCTCTAGCCTCGTTTTCTGGAACTGCTTGAAAAGCTAATGATGACGATTGCGAATGAAAGAAGCGTTCTAGCAAAGAAGTGCCATAAACATAATAGCGCAAAAACTTTGACAAATGATTTTATCAATTGTTTATTTAACCTATTTACCATATTTTTAATATCATTTCTCGATTATTTAGCAATTAAGCTTTCATATATTGTATACATAATCATAGACGATTTAAGCTTTAAAGAAATTTAAGCTTTTTATTATTTCAGATGACTAAAAGAATCACACTTTCCGCCAGTTATGCTCTTCTTTGTGCATATCGCGGAAATCATATGTTGATATTCACTTCTACTCTTAAATATAGATGGCTCTATCGGTATTTCATACTGCTTTTATCGTACATCTAGTGCAGCAAAGTCAGTAGTGTGCGTTTATCCGTCCAAATAAACGTAGTACCATTGAAAAATGATAAACGTTTGATGTGAAGAAGGCAGTAAACCTTAACGTCACCGACTATGGCTAGAACATTCGAACGATAAGATGTAGAACTAACACAAATTAATAGTATCATATGATATTTTAAGTATTTTGCGACTGATATCGAAAGCACCGTTTTCGATACAAACTCAATAATGGCATAGCGTAGGTGTTGGCACTATTATATTAATTAATAGGTTAAATTAATTTTAAAAAAAATTCGTTTTTCCCGCAAGTCTTCGTAATCCAGTCTAGTAATGTACAGGATGGGGTATTCAAATTTCGATTGGTTGATAGTAGTAGCGGGCCTGTACTCATCCGTTATCCTTAGCAGTATGAAAAGCCAGTTTTTTTTTCTACAAGTAACAAGCTTGCCATGCCGAAAAAGACTATACCGTTTTCAAAATGATATAAGAGCGAAAATCAAGTCTTCCCGCTGGTTTTTATCAATATTAAAAACGTCTTTTTTCGCTCAAAATAGACGCATTGTTGTCAGTTTCCATGTAGCTTTTGAAAACCCGAGGAAGACTTTTGTGATAAGATGATTTTGATTCAAAAGGCTCGAAATCTATCAAAAGGACTTAAAAATATTTTTTATATTCTTGAGTTTTTAATATAAAAGTGAATACCATTGTGGAGAAGAAAACGTTTTTACTAATTGTATCTATAAATAAGCTTCAACGATTAGTTTTTTTTTTAAATCCTTGTTGCGTTTTTAGCATCTTTGAACTTTTGGCTGTTTCGGTCTTTTGAATTCTTTAAACTTTCTTCTGCTGTTAGACCAAAATTTGATTCCTCCGGAATCTTTGGTGTGTACATATATTAGTCTACTTTTATTAGCACCGCTTGCCACACAGTCATTATTAAAATAATTTGCGAATTTAAAGGAATATCACTTAGTGGTTTAGATTCTGAATTGCAGCTGGATCACAGTAAGTGGTAGTGGTAGTGGTAGTGGTAGTGGTAGTAGGAAACATGACTGCCAGAGTTACACTTTTAGCAGATGCAAAAGAATACGCGGGGTATCGGTTTCTATTTAGATACAATATTAAAAACAATTAATAACAAGACGTCCGGATTCAGACACGGACGCGTCACCTAGGTGCAGCAAAAAATTTGATTATGTTCGAGATCATGAAATCTTGCGCAGTTGGATTTAAAGCTGCTTGTATCAACGATACACGTGTGTGTCGGCCAAAATCTGCAACCGTTCTGATAACATTGGAACAGCTAGCCCCGAATTAGATGCCGTGTTTACTCACCCAAGACCTAAAACTGCATTCGAATGAACGTTTATAAAGCTCTGTTTGAAGCAATTTGAGTAAAATGTATCGTAAATTGACGATTTGTAAAAGTTATAGGGGTTTTGGCAAGCAACTGTAAAACACTTAGCACATGACCAGGATACGTGGTGCAGTTCTTTCTAAGCTTTTCAAACACAGTGTGCATATAATTTATACGCTGTTAAAAACCTTGTTTCTTTCCTTTTCTCATATCAGTCTCTTGGCGGAGTCCGGCGGGCAAAACGTACGCAAAAACGATACTACACCATAAAATAATGCTGTGAAACATCTAGCGGATCTGGGTTCGGGATGATAAAAACCTAGACTATTTCCATTCATCGCGCTTCGGAAAGAGCAGATTGTAAAATTTTGAAAATATGCGACCCGCGTAAAGATCTTGTCCAAAATAGGTTCAGTATAATGACGCTTTATCAGAGATGGGAAAGTTCAATCTCGAACTTACTGCTCAATGTCAAAAGAGTTCTCACTACTTTTTTGAAGCAATCTATCAATGTAATCAATCCCTTAGCTACCTGAACTCGTGAACTACAAAACATCTATTCTCTCAACAGCCTCATTGAGGCTAAATTAAGGCTACTCCAGACAACTGCAATCCTAGAATTTAGAACTAAAAGAGCTTAATTTTAAGAGAACTCTGACACACTACAGGTTTTTCCAACGTTACTCACTCGATTACACTATTGAACTACAATATTGCAATTCACTCTATTTCTAAACATAAAATTAAAAGATCCCCTTACTAAATATACTAACAACAAAGGTCTTATGATCATAGATTTCTTGTCAAGCTTAGGTTAGAAAAAAGAAATCAAAACTTGCCTAAATATGCGTTACAGAACATTGTACTGTCGGGTGGTTCTACAATGTTCCGCGATTTTGGACGTCGTCTCCAGCGTGACGTAAAAAGGGTTGTCGACGCACGCCTGAAGCATTCGATTGAATTGAGCGGAGGTCATATCACACCCAAGCCGATAGACGTGACAGTCGTTTCACATCATATGCAGAGGTACGCCGTTTGGTTCGGCGGCTCCATGCTTGCGTCTATGGTGGGTACAGTCTTAACGTTCGCTGAAGACTTATATATTGGGATTTGCAATCCGGACGTTAGGCGTTTTCTAGTCTCTTAACAGATGAAAGCATAAGTCCCAAATTAAAATACGGGTTTCTTAGTTCTAAGCAAATAATAGAGTCATTCTTGTTTATAACGATTGTAATTAATATTTAAATGTCTATGTAAAGCTAAATTTTGGCTTTTTAATAATCTTGTCCTTGTAATCTTCTGTAAAAGCCCTTGTAATCTCACCGATTTTGGCTCCGACACTTGAGAATTATTTTGTGGGTCCTAAATGTGTTATTTGCAAAAGACAATTTTGTACTCAATATGGTTCACTCTTCGTACCTGCTGGTTATTTATTAGTTAGTGTTATAGGCGTACACTTACCTCATTCTATATTAAATGCAAATGTTTGAAAAGGAATAATAGCTCCGAATATATTTCGTTTAAGTCTCATATAGTTATCGATATGTAAAAATCTAGCGCAAATTTAGTGTCCGTCCAATATTTCAAAAAAACCAAGCTTTACAGAATGTGTATCTGTGTGTGAGCTATCCATTGGCCAACATCTTTCTTTCTACTAAAATAATTGGTTTTATTGTTTTATAGTTATTGTGTCAAAACTGAGAACCCTGTTTAATAGCCGTTCTTTTTTTTAACCCCTAAATACTTATATTGTCAATTCTGTATTTAAACATTGCATGGCTAGCGACAGTAAGATACTATGAAGGCACGATGGAGGAACCGCACGCCGCAAAATTCCTACCTGCTCTGCTACAGTTTGTGCCTATATTACGCGTGGCAATTTTTTTTACAGCTAGAAGAAATTGAGTGTTTTTAACTCATAAAAAAATTATTTTGGAGTAAAAAACGATGAAGAATTATGTAAGTCTCTCAGTTTATATTTAACGCCAATAGATTTAGATTCGATTAAATTTATGGTAGACACACACTGTTTGGATAGGATGCACACCATTTTAAGGTGTGTATAATTTTTCAACAGCTACACATCTGAACTAATCCGGCCGCCTGGTTTTATTACTTGATTAAATTTTTGTGTTATTGTTGGTAACTTCCAACCTTAGCAAGTTTAATCTAATTAATAACAACGCACGTTTTTGTTTTATCTCTTGTTTTTTTATACGTAACGTTGATATTTCAATACCGATGGCGTTAATTCTAGCCGGAGTTCTACCCAGTGTGCCACACCAAAGCGCAGTACGAAGAACATGGTCCGAGTATATGTCGACACAATGCCGTCTTTGGAACCATGTGGTGACCTGCAAGATCGGTAAAACCGGCAGCAGTTGACGGTGCAATGAGACGTGATTTCTATGGAACGTTTGCCGACGATCTATGCACAGCTCGGATATCCATCTCGGCACTGCAATCTGAAAAAGAAAGCCTTTGGAGGAAGGATGATGAAGTAAACGTTACTGCCTTAAGCACAACGGAGGACCGCGGTTGGATACTAAACCCGTGATTTTGTCTCTCACTATTATTGATAATATTACGAGTAAACTAACCTTGATGCTCCATGATTCCTCACTTTATAAGTTTAACCGCCGCATTGGCTGTAAAGGATGTCATTTATCTCGTTATATGAGATATGCGGTCAATAAAGTTGAAAAAGAACTCTCAAGAACTACGTTTGTTGAATATTCATTGAATTAACTTCATTCTTAAAGTACAGTTCCAATCTATGCACCATATAAAGACTGAAGTGCGAATCATTATTTATTCTTTCGATTGGTTCGAAAAAATAAGTGTAAGGGCACGGTCTGTGTTCCACTTGGTTTTCAAGGATAAAAAGAGTACACAGATAGTTATATTGTGGCAGAGCGCACGTCAACAGAGCTTACAAGTTCTTCAAGGAAGACACGAAGTATTAAAATGTGCCACAGAGGTTACTCACTACATGTCAGCCAAATACAATCATTGGGCTTCTCAGTGGAAAATATTCTAGCGTAGATGAAATTATAACTACAGCTCCGGAATAATGCAAACGTGGCTGTCAACGAAAAACCCACAAATAATGCAATAATAAAATGTTCAATTGTCAGTGTGACAATAATATCGAAATTCAATGAGAAAGAAGATGGCAGGATTTCAAAAATTGCCCAATGAACTCTTTAGTAGCATACCATTCATATCTTCGCAAAAACTAAGGAAGAGCATACGTGAGACGAAATACATTAATGATAAGACTTCACAACCATATATAATCGAACCCATTTGTTTCAAAGTGGGAAGCATAAGTTATAATATAGATACCATTGACCTCTGTTTGGTTTAGTATACAAGTGAACTGTTTCATATATTGTAGGTCTATTATAATATACCTTAGTGCTCTTAGCAGCATATTCGCACAAAAAAGTTCACTCAAATTGACTGAAATTTCATTTCACACCTTGTTACTTTGTTTGGCAATCGCAGCGCAGTCTTCTTGATAAACGCTCGTTTTTTTTCTGATTAGTTAGCAAAAATAAGTAAACTTTAAATATGTATGGACGGCGAATACTAATTATTAGTATTTTTGCTTGAGTTTTAATTATTAAGTTACAAAAATAGGTCTGTAAACAGAATAAGGAAAATTGTTAATTTCCTTTGTTTTGGGGTTGGTCGCCAGTTATTAAAATAAAACGACATTATTCGCTGCGTCTTTTCATGCAGTTGTCTTTGTCTTTATGCGATAACAAACTTCGCTATATTATAATGTTAAATTGAAAAAAAACAAGCTTGTTAGATAATGTGGTCGTTAAAAAGCATGTATAGCGTAAATATGCTATCGTCCTAGCTTTCACATAACTTTATAGTTGTTCGCCTTTGACTAGCACCAAACAGTAAGTTTTCATTATATTTAGCAACTCTATTATTTCAGAGAAAGTAAGTATGAGTACCCCAAAGGTGTGTTCTAAAAAAGCAATTTTACGTTTAAAAACGATCTTCTGAATGGCTTTTGGCTGTTTATGCGTATGGATTATTTATTTTTAATTACTGAAGGTTCACGACCAGGCAGTCTGCTAAAATAATGGCGAGCTATCTACTGTATCAAATGTGCAAGCTCCATTCCTATAAGAATGATAACAATACCACTACTATGTGCTAGTGGTCATAGTAGGCCCTTAGTCAGGAGCTGAAACTAGGACGACCCTTAAATTGTAAGATTGCTAGTTAAACCATGCATATGGGTTACAAAAATATAGATATTTTAAGATTGTTTAAAGACTATGATAAATCGAATGGGTTCTGACTTCACAAGTAGCTGCTTATTCACTACGTTATTGTAAAATAACACTAGATTCGGTGGAACGCTTGACGTAAAAATACTTGTCTATTCAGATAACTGATGATTATTAAGGGACACCTGTAGCATCCATCAAATCATGCCCAAGCAACCACTCCTATGATAATCGGTTACTTCATCTATTGAGATCTGAAGCTCATCTCAGCCAGAATACAGTTATATTTTTCATTTATATATATATATATATATAATTTTCAATAATAATAATAATAAGTATTTTTATTTATCCACGCTCGCACAAGTAAATCTCGCTGGATACATTCGTTTTTCCACGGGTGGTATGGTAGCATAACGTCTCCTTTACTGTGCGCCACATTTAGAGCTTAAACATTGCTCAAGAACTTGTTTTTTTTACCCACGATAAACGCATCCTGTAAATCCTTCAAATCTGGGTTGGACAACAGCCATGTGTGCTCATTGCAAAGTATGCAAAGTAACCAACTTCACAGTAACTGGCTCGTATAAGCCGGTTTGCATCGTCTGCAAAACTCAAGGTCCTTCCTTAGATATTAGCTATCCCGGGTCGCATAAACATATGCAAATTAACTTCCTTATTGATACCTGCGTCTTTGTGGAAAAAGTACAATGGATTGACGTCTTCTTTACGGGACAATACACTCAGAACGTGAGCACTGACCGGAAGGTTGTTTCTATTTAAAATAGGCACATCCTCGCGTAAGCGAGCCAGTGACTATAGGGTTCATTTTTTTGCATCGATGATATAAATTTTCCTATGCAGAAAGAAAACAAAAACTATCTGCTACTTTATTTTTAAATAACCGAGAAGCAAAGAACCTCGACTAAATCGATTGGTTTTAGTGTTGTCAGAGGCATATGTCTGACTTTTATGGCATGTTCTCGCGGACATGGTGGCTTTACCCACATCAAGATTCCGAGAATAGCGAGCGAGCGAGCGAATATATGCATGGCAAACAGTTTTTCAAATAAAATGAGCCTTTTTATGTGGCTGTAGTCAGCGTGACGTACATCCCTATATTTAATTTTACAAAACATAAAATCTATATCGATTGCGGTTAGTAACACTGACAAGCTGTAGTTTAAAAAACAAGATTTCTCGCACCAGAAAAACTGGCTACCTTGAGCTGTAGCCCGTGTAGCTATTGTGTAGCTCATTTATTGAAGGTACGCTTGGAAGTTACCTAAGTTTGTTAACCTTATATTTAGAGAATGAAACACGGTAACTTGAGATTAATCGTCAATTTACTTCAAAGTCTGGTAGCAGCAGCTCCACCTGGCTGCGCTCCGAGGAGCTAACACTTGACTGCGCGGCAGGGTTTGGGTCATGTCAGGTTAGACAGTACAGTTTCCCGTTAACTGAAGAGTCGCTCCGAATCTTCACGTAGTTGCAAGTTGTACGAGACAGTGCGTGGGCTTGGGTGTCCTATGCGGTAAGGTATCCGCAGTATGGAGTAGCCCCGGACAGCGTCAGTTGTCTTTTCTCGTGCAATAAACGGCTTGAGTTGTCAACAGTGGATATTTTGTTTATTTTGTTCGCACCCTGGTAACACTGCGGTGTCTGCTGATACAACTTTTACATTTATCGGGTTGGTTATCCTACTTGTGTTGTACGGGCCGAACTACAACCTTTAAAGCTTGTCCGATAAACAAAGCTTGCGAAGCTAGACCAAGGACATAACCGAGTTTACAGTGTTGAATTTTCGCGCGCGCCTCTCTTGGTTGCACAGATCTCCGTTGACTTTCTTCTATTGGTCAACTAGGGTTTATGCCAACTTCAGCGAAAAGCATGTTGAATTAGCTTTTCGCACACGGAACACAAACCTACGGCAACGTTTGGTTGACCGCTGTGGAGCGGTAAACTACGAATGGCAAAATTTAGCTCAGTCGTATTAACATTCACTAACGAGTTTACATGTCAGCAAGCGTTTTACGTGGCCTCTCTATGTGAGTTAGTCTTTGAATGGGGGTGCGACGCTGATCGATGTGACAGGAAACCGTAATATTTTCCAATAACGCTGACATTAACGTTTTTTTTTTATGCTCTATGTTTTAGGATGATCCGATTGATTAGCGACTACGTGAATAACTCATTTCCGATGAATTATCCGACAGTGCCTCTGCCACTAAATATGTTTAAGGTGACACAAGGGGGGTGGCTATGACCCGGCTGCCATAATTTGTCTGACTGAAAGACAACAAATCAGTGATATGGAAAGGAGTGACTAGCATTGGTATATGTTAAACATCATCGAATTTAATCAAAAATATTTTCTTCTTTGGCACTTTAAACACAAACGGACAAGGCATTTCGTGTTGCGGTATGCTTTGAACCAGACATACCTTTCGTTAACCTAAGTCCGTGCCAGGCCTATTTGTTTCGCTTGCTGATCAGTGTGCTAGTCGTGCAAAGTCTCTTCGCGATATCTGGCAGGGCAAGCAGCAGGTCTTCACTCTGTCGGCGAGATTATAATTGTACAATACACCATTGACGACAGTGAATGCTGATGAAAAGGGTGCTTAGGCTATGATTCCATTTTCAATAGAAATGGGTCACCCTGCTGATCTTATGTAAGATCTGCCATGAAGATTGTGGCTATCGGTTAGTGCTTTTTCATTTCTTCGCGTTATTACCACTTAATGTTCCAGTATTTCATGCTCTGCTTATAAGTCACCGTAGTTTGATGTTTCTATTGTTGAAGGACTTATTATGCTAATCGACTAGCCAGATCCTTAACAGATATTATCGAGTAAAGTGCGTGGGGATCAGCTATGTAGCCCTAAAGGAGCGTGTCTTAATAGTTAACGATAGATTCGCTTCATAGAGTACGTTTTGAAACCGCGAATTGTGTTTGTCGCAAGAGGTCGAAGAGGCAAGATATCAGTTTTTGGATAAGGTACATTATTTAGTAGTTACCAGATCGTCATTCAAGCCGAAGGGCATCATTTGAAACCTGAATAGGTTGTTGAGCATGATAAATGCTGTTTCTTCGATATCTATTTCTTATAGCGGGCCTTGGGAATATCCTTGTTTAAAATCTAGGGATAGGAAATACGTAGAACCGATCAGGCAGTTGAGCGTATGGTCTGCGAGCGTAAACGGATTCTTCGCTTTCTTTTACAATATCTTGTAGTTGAAGCGGTACTTCCCCGTCTTTTCTTCACTAATACCACTAAGCTACATCATAGCTTCATGAATCTGCAGCATACATCGGTTAGAAGGAACCGACGGTAGTTATCTACAGCGCGCTCCCTAAATAAACTAAATTTCTCAAAAAACGATTAGTGTTATCCACAATAGTTTGCAGTTAGAATTTAAATTACCGGCAGGCGAATTCCAAATAATGTCTTCAATGAAATCTTTGTGTTTCCAATTCAGTATTCAATAAATGGGATGATTTTCTGATAAAGTAAAAGATAAAGCACGTCGGACCACCTTTAAAAATGTAAGTTTCATTTGCATCTAAGTCGTGAATCGAAGATCAACGATTAGGTGAGGAAGGGCTCACTGTACAGGTTTAAAAAACCCATTGGAAACTGAAGATCATCAATTAAAACAATTTTGGGAATATTACCAACTTGTGCGCGAATGAATCATTTTTCAAAACCTGTGTGATTCTCAAATAAGATCAAACGGAAGCCTAACAGCTTTTGTACACCTCGTGAAATCCCTGGAAGATCTCTGTCGCGCAGTTCCAGTATGGCTAGTAAACGTAGCAGAAATCACCAACCTTCTATAACTATTCATTCAAGAACTAACATCAATAAACTAATGTATCATCGGTAAATTTTGGAAATCATCTTTAAATCACAGCGGTGAGAGTCAGTACGATCACTGTTTAGGCTTGACCAACCAAAGTTGACCGTATTATACATAATATGGATGTGTCTTGGGTATTTAAAACGGGCGTTAACCGCTATTAAAAGCAAGTGACTAATATTACTAACCAATTTACTCTAAACTCTTCGAGGAAATTAATAGCAAAGAGGTTGTCCAAATAAAACATTTGATATATAGTTTTAATAGGGTTTTCATAGAATCGCTTTTAATCGGTCGCTTTCCCTGGGTACATACAATTTGTCCCTTTAGAAATAAAGATACGAACGTAACCAAAACCCACAGAAAATTAATCGAATAAAAACAGTAGATTTTTTTTAGAATTCGCTGATGTTTCAATGGTAACTGTGCTTAGTACATTTGATTTATCCGTAACTGTACCAAGCAGTTTCCATGCTAACGCTGTAAGCAGAGAAATTTTGATACCAAAAGAGGTCGAGAAGTAACTGAACTTTAGTACGGACAGAAACGATTGAGATTAATTGTATTAAGTTAACAGTAATGAGGGT